GTTCTTTACATTTTACTTAAAGCACATCCCTCCCTCCTTTTCACCGCCCTTGTGTCCTCTCTACATTTTTAGTTTGGTGCCTTCTGTGTGCCCTGGTTGTGTGGCATGATTGTGTCGGCACTGCGTTCATTTAAAGTCGCCTCTTACCTTGTTAATCTTTATTTTGTTTTTTAATGTGTCTTCCTACACAAAATATTATTAAATTTTATTAAGTTAACCCGGGGGCAAGTGGCATGACTAATACCAGTTATTGTTTGGCCCAAAAAGCGATGCTTCATGTCAAATATCTAAGCTATTTGCATTGAAGTTTCACAAAGTAAGTCTCAGATTTGTTTTTTCAATAGAAAAAATCTGGAAACAAAGTGATCCCTCGGAAGCATTAATCACAACAAAATTACAAGAGCATTTCAGACTCGGTTTGATTGAGCCTGTACACGAGAGATAATAAATACGTGCAACATTCATCTCGCCCGCTAGCACCGGCTTGAGCGGTACTTAATTCTCAACACTTAATAGTGCTGGCATCAATGATCCCGAAGGACCAGAAAGATATAAAAAAAAAAAAAACACACTGAAGTGAAGTACGGGGCAACATTTTACAGTTGCCACACAGCTGTGAAACAATAAGTATGTACATGTATAAGTCAAGTAATCTTTGGGGCGGAATCAATTTTTTATCTCAGAAAGCAGGAACCTCCGTCCTGCGCACCATCTCTTTTTGAAAAATATTTTTGATAATTTCTAGAGAGAGACACAAAATTTGAAAATTATCAATGTACACACAAATGTATTCACCTTCAAAACATTTACAATGTTTCAGTCTCTGGATTAAATATTTGAAGGCATGTTCATAGACATTTTTATGTATTTCCAACTGAAATGTATTTTTATGCTCTCCGAAAAAATTCGGGGGAGCATATAGTCGCCGCCTTGTCCGTCCGTCCGTCTGAGGAAACTTTTTGGGTTAAGGGGCTATATAACAGTAAAGAGAACAAAAGAGAACAATAGGTTCATTCCGTGATCAAATAGTTTAGGGGCTAGTAGCCCTTAAGGAAACAAAGAAAATAACAAAGAAAATAGCACCTAAAGCCAAAACGTTGGAACGTCCATCCGTCCGTCCGTTTTTCTTGTCCGGGACATAACTTTAAAACAACTAGAGGTATCAATATGAAACTTTGTAGGTTGATAGATCTCATTGAGTAGATGCGCAGTGCATAAGACCGTAACTCTGCCTTGCCTACTTATTGAATTATTGCCCTTTGTTTATTTTACAATTTGAACATTTTCCGAGACATAACTCGAAAACTATAAGAGGTATCAACATGAAACTTTGTAGGTAGTTAGATATTACTGAGAAGGTAATTTTTAACTTTGTCCGGGACATATCTCTAAAATAATAGGAGTTATCAACATGAATCTTTGCAGATAGATTGATCTCATTGAGTAGCTTTGCAGTAAACAAAAACTGTAACTCTGTCTTGCCTGATTTTGGAGTTATTGCCCTTTGTTTATTTTGACACTTTGAACATTGTCCGGGACATACTCTAAAATTATAAGAGATATCAACATGAAAAATGCAGTGCTAATGAATCATATCTCTGACTTGAAGTTATTGTCTTCTGTGTTGTTTTTTTTACTTTTTGACTTTTGTACGGGACATATCTCTAAAAGTATTAGAGATATCAGGATGAAACTTTGTAGGTCGATAGATCTTATTCGATAGAACTGCAATGCTAAAGAACATAAGCCTATAAAGAACCTTGTCTAATTTTGAAACTATTGCCCTTTGTTCATTTTTAAACTTTGAATTTTACCTGAGGCATATCTCTGAAACTATAAGACTATTAAAGATATCATCACGATACTTTATAGATAGATAGATCTCATTTAATAGAAGTGAAGTGCAGTTTAAAAAAGTAACTCTGTATTGCCTTATTGTGGAGGTTTAGCCCTTTGTTCATTTTTTTAAAGCTTTCCTGTGTCCAAAACCCTCTCGGGGAGCATCACCCGGTTCAGCCGGTTCTTGTGTTAGCTTTTGATACAAAGAGAAGTAGAGGAAGAGCAAAAAGGGCCGATGAATAGTGAATACTGATGATGGTGGAACACAACGGCTTTTCTTGCTTCAGAAAGTTTTGCACTACAGACGCCTTGTTCGATGACGCCTAATCATGCAACAATCTTGCAGTGGCCAAACCTATTGCGGGTCTTTTTCCCGAAAGTCTTTGTTTAGTTTTCGAAGAATTTTTGCCTTGTAAAATAATGCATTATCGTACTAAGTACATGCATTTGTCTAAAAGAACAGTAACCTCAATGGCGGGATTCTGAGTTGTTGTTCGGAAAATGACGTAAATAACCTTCTTTATTACGATGGTCCCTTTTGCAAGCATGATATGTTTGCTTGGCAAGACTTTGTTCCTCAAATCTTGTTTCTGGTGTTGTTTATAATTACAAAAAATAACCCATGTTTCGTCAACAGGCAGGACATTTGCAGAAGACCGTGCACTGTTATTTTGACACTGTTTAAGAAATATCTTAGCGCATTGCACCATATCTAGCAGAGATATTTCTCATTTTCAAATTTCGTTTGAGAATGGTATGAGCTTATCCCAATGAGATGCCAACGATAATAGCTATTTGTCCAGTGGTGAATCCTGCATCGGCATTCATTAAATATTTCTTTTACTTCAGCAAACATCTTGACAGACGTTTTAAATGTTTTAGGCCGACGAACATGGGTGCATTTTCTGTCAAAATAATTTATTAAACCAACGAATAACTGTTGATAAAATACATCCTTTTGTCCATATAAAGTACAGGTTTTATCAAAAATGTATTTTCACCCTATGCCAAGGAGAACACGATTTTAAATACAGGGCAATAATTAATACTTCTACCAATCATTTTTGTATAACAGTATGCGACTAGACAATGTATAGCGAGCTATAAACAAAGCTCAACTGATCAGATTTTAATTTTATGGTAAGAATGTAAAGCTTACACTTGTATATACCGACAACCTTCACTTCTTTGTGTTTTTCGCAATATTGAACAATATAACATTCTAGATGCATTTATATTTAAACGTTCTTCCAGCAAAATGATCAAGAGTTTCCTTTCAGCGTCTAATGCCTCCAGTTCATCCCCAATGGTATAGCATAGGATGAAAAACTTTAAATTTTTCTTAAAATAATGGCATGATAGGATCCTCATTATTAGACAGCAGAATCCTAATTTCTCTAATAACGATAGGGGAATAAGACATCAGTAGAAATAGCATGATTAAAGGACGTTGAAAGTCCAAGTTATTTATTCTTTCTATCACCCATCATTGAAGGTCTTAATCCATTTGCCCTAGGCTGAATTTAACCACTGTTGAGCTTTAAGCATTTTTTCTCTAAGGTGCAGACCGCAGTGAATGTCTTAATGATTTTGCAGCCACGTTAAAAATCCTGTGGTGAAGTATGCTTCCTTTATAAAATACCAGGTATATAGATTTGTTTGCCACTTTCTCTTTAAGATGGGGAGTTTTCTTTAAATAGATAATAGTTTCTGATTTATAAGCGAAATGTTATTTTTACGCAAATCACCATAAACTATGATATTTTGTAGAAGAAGTGTTTACGGTTCAGTGCCCGCATTCCATCATTAATTTAAGTGCAACTGCGTCAGTGAATATTTTCTTTGGCTCAATTGTCTTCATCGTTGTTCTTGTTTACTAAGCAAGATGTCGTGTCTTTGAATCCCAGCCATGGTTTGGTCTTTTCCGACGAATTGTCTCTCCTTTACTTTTAAATTCCGTATTAAGTGCGAGAAGAAATCTTCATAATGTACATGGAAATAAGAAAGTATTGAAGGTATCCAAATGTTATTTATATTCAGATCTAACCTTATACACAGCGATGTTTAGTATTAAGTGACTATCGAAATGGGTAGGCAACAAGGTCTTTTTGAAATCATATCACTTTTAATGTCCTGAAAATCTCAAAAGGTGACGTTAATTATATAGAATTATGTGGTGTATCATTTTTGTAAAAGACACCATGTAGGAAACTTGGGAAATGCCTTATGGCAAATATAAGTGAAATAAGTATTTGGCCTTATACAAGTTTATAATAGTGAGACCGATTAAGTAATTACCTAGAAAGACTCTATCAAATTAGAAATGGTGGGGTAAGGTTAGTTGGAAAGGGTAGATGTTAATCATTTGTGATAGTGGAGGGTCTGTCTCAGTATATTGTTGGTCCCCTTTCGCAATGTAAATTAATACCGTTGGTAGGCAAATATCACAACGCTCTAGCCTTATACTTTCAGACAAGCAGATTATTTTTAATTAGCATTTTTGAAACTCTTTTCCTGAATCTGTGACCAAAACAGACCAAAACAGACCAAAACCATTTGAACACATTTGAAAGACGTCTGACATTGTCTGACGGTGGGGGACAACAATAGCTCGATGAGCTAAAACACTGGTAGTTTTCTTATGAAAAGACCAACTTTACTTGACACGTAATTTGGAACGCATTATGCCATATAAAGTTTATTCATTTTCTTATTCAGATTAGAAATATTTAGTAAGAATTTAATATAGTTCAACAAATTTCTGTGATTAAGATATTTTACTCAAGGATGAGCATAATCTTATGCGCATAAGTTTTTCGACTTAAAAATTCTTTTGTATAGAGAACACAGAAACAAAAATAGGTCGAAAAATTATTGCAGACCTGTTAAGCGGTCGGTAAGTGATTAAGTAGACCGCTTTTAACAAAAGAGCCAGTAGGTAACTACTATTACGAATACATGTATATGAATTAAACAAAATGTTTAAGTGGAAGTGGTTCATAAATCAAGTGATATAAGAATAAATATTATAACACAATATATGTAATATAAGGAAAACAAAGGCATGCATATAATTCAAACACACTGTTTAAATGGCAGTTGATAATAAATCAAGTTATATAAGATAAAATCCACTTTAAAATCGGATCAGCATTACTTACGTTTCTTTTTGTTTCTGAAGCTCTTTCTCAAGCTCTTTTATCCTTACTTCATTTTTTTCATTTCGTTTCTTAAGGTCCTTTTTTTCCTCATCTTGTTCGTTTTTGGCATTTATTCTGAAAGTTTATATAAACAGAATACTAGCATTTGAATATCGGTTTGAAACCTTGTTATCTATGTTAATTGATGATATTCCGTACGGTTCATATTCCGCTGTTCTTGCTAGCGTTTAAGAAATGTTTTCATTGCTCATATATAAATAGAAAAGTTCATAGACAATTCCGTGTGAGTTTAAGGTAAAATAAATTCCAACAAATTATAATAAAGTTTCCTTTTAAAAGGAATGGCTTGCCTACGTGTGCCATATTCCATCCCTTTAAAAAAATTTTTTTTGAAAAAACCTCCTTAATCAACTCTTTATGATAAAGAAATAATTATACAGAAAATTAATAAGTTGACCTTATATACCAGTAAAATCAAGGTACCTATGTTTTTACAGGTATAAAGGGTCAATTTATTATCACTATTTTTATAAATTATTTGTATATCATAAATTTTTTATTTAGTTTTATTTTCGAAAAAAAAGGTTTACTTTTAAAGGGGTAGGGACTTGACGAGCACATGTGCCCATTTGTGCTACCAGTGTTATGCGAAAGAAGGACCAGAAGTCCACTGATTATAACTGAACCGGAACATGCTGACGATAACATTAACAACTTTTTTTGTAGAAACGAATATTTTTTGTCAAAAGCGATTTGAACTCTATTCTCTATTGTATAAAACTAATCAAGAAAATAATTGGGTCTCCCACGTGGAGGAAATAAAAGTATCTATCTATCATACTGAAGGGAAACAAGTGTGCACATCTCATTTCCACTTTTTTCGCAGAAAGAGTCATTCGTTTTGGCAGTTGCTAATATCATTTAAAAAGCAGCTTTATAGACAAGTCTATGCACTAAAAGACTTTGTTACATGGTACCAATTAATATGCATGTTACACCTAAAATATCTATGTCACTTGCCTATTGATCACAGATATAACGAAAACACAGGATGCGCTATCTGTAGGCCAGCACGTTGTAAGGTTAATGATATGCTTGGGCTATTTTTAGATTACCGTTATACTGTAGTTTTAACTCCACGTTAGAATTGCGTTTAAATATAAGACAAAGTAGATCTAAATATAACTTGATCGCAGACAAATCTGATAGAGGTATGCAATTTTAACTTGTTCGCACTAATTCTCTGTGTGATTCGGTCACGACCTTTTGGTAAGTAGAACCGTCCTTTGAAGACGGAATAGGCCTACTACTACAGAAATTTTCTATTGTATAAAACTAATAAAGACAAAAATCAATCACTTTTGCGTCCTGAAAACGAATTGAAACGAAACATTTTCGTTTATAATTTATTTCTTTCTTCCACTTACGCTTTAAAACGATAAATCAAGTTAAAATAGAAATCTTATTTATAGAAACAAACTGGGATTACCGAAATAATTAAAAATAGCTTAGATTTCCGTAATATTACTTCGTCTGATTCCGCAGTATGACGGAATCGCCCGAATTGTCACGATTGCAGCGGAAACCTAGACTGGTTTTCCGTTCCATCATGCACATCATGCACAAATAAAAGCAGGAAGCCATTTAACCGGAACAACTTTTCCAAAACAAATGGCTTCTAACAAAAAGCAAAATATGCCTTAATAGCTTTGTTACCAAGATTTCCATGAAAAGATAAAGTTGATTTTTTAAAGAATTCTATCTTGCGACTTCGTCGGACTTGAAAATCATTGAGATAATTTTGTAGAAATACTTTTAATAGCAAAAAAGTCAACTTACAAACTAAAATATTTATATTATATATGGAATCGAAGTTAATCAAAGTTAATTGCGAGCTAGGCCGAAGGCTTCGCAAAGCAATAAGTTCCATATACATTGACATTTAATTTATTTACAGATTATCACGGTCACACATCGGCAATTTCTATTAAAGTCTCGTTAAGGCCGCCCCTTATTTGTGATAAACACTTCAAGACTTCAAAAGATGTCTATTGCCTGTCAATTTCTTGGTATCAAGGGCTTATCTTCATGTTCATTTCAAATATTTACATTTACCAGCGAAACACAATTTAATTAAGTGCACGATTACGGTACACTAGCTCGTGGGTATTAACTATGTTGCAGTGTCTCTGCGTCTTTCATGATCAAGGACATTTGGATAATCCTTATTTAATGTTTTCAGTTATTTTCATTGATGTCCTATTTTATTTTAGTGCTATTGATTAGAACCTTGAAAGTTGATGCTAATTACGCCAAAAAACTGCGGTTCAACCGTTTAAAATGAATTATTTAAGAAATATCATTCTATTTATACCGCAATTGACAATGAATATAATGAGATTCCTTTTGTAATGAAAGTCCAAGTATCACATCTTATTTTTTATTTTCAGGTCGATTTGAAAAAAAACCAAGTCGGTGGCGTCAGAGGAATTCTATGCATAAACATGCAAAGAAAGTAATCCTGGGTTATCGGTATGTGGCGAGATGGGAGGGGAATCATAGGCAACATGTTTGAGCAAGGAAATCTCATTCTAATTAATATTGAGTTTCATTTCTAAGCAGTGATAAGCTTTAAATGAAACTGTTAAGGCATATTTATGGCTGTGTTTTATAATCGAATCAACATTTTTTAAATAACATTTTTATGTTTTCATATCATTATACCCGAATGTTATTAAAATAGAGAAAACAAAAATCCCTGAAGAAAGCCCAACACGACAAAATTGAATATGTTGCAGGCTCGGTTTCATGAGCCTGTCCATGGACGGTACTGTCAAGTAAAAACTACCATCCACGCCCCCTAGCACCACCGGCTTAAGCAGAATTCAACATTTAACATGAACTGATACAATTTTGAATTTTGAAACATTCACAGATGTGTTCATATGGCGGTTATCAAAAAACCTTCAATGTGGCACGTAAGTGCCATTCCATGAAAAGCGGCATATGGTCCCAAAGTAAATAAAATGCGTGTCCCCTAAAAGACAAAACAATGTGCAAGCCTTATTTGCATAGCATAATTCCGCCTCTAACTTGTGTTTAAATATATATTGGATTTATAATTTTTTATCGATTTCAAGTTCCCCTTCCCGTCGAAAAAGCACGTTATAATATTTTTTGTTTGCATTACGTGACTGTTTTGTCGATTTGATGCCAGAAACCAAACTAATAGTCAATTCCTTCGCATCAAAACTCCAAATCAATATTAAATAGCCAATATTAAAATAGATATCGACGAAAGACAAAATTCGCCTTCAATGCAATTCAAGGTGATATCCCGGACAAATGACATTGAAAAGCAAACTTATACATGTAGTTTAATGAGGTTTCAAATATAATGTCAAGTAGCTGAATGTGCTTTATAAACACAAACAATATTCGTTCATTTCCTTACATAAGTGTTCGTTTAGGCCATATATTTTCACAATTACATACCTGTGTTACGGGATATACACGATGATTGTAGTGACAGCAACAGTAAACTTGTATGTGAAATGGGAAAAATCATCGTCATCTTGTACTTCCAGAAATTTTATTTGCCATGCTTTTCTTGTTCAAACGCAGAATATTGAAGAAATAAAATCTCTGAGAAAGTTATAAACTTATGCTTACTTTTGCAGTTGCGTTTCATCGCATCGTTCCGCTTCTGTCTCTGAATTATGTTTGTGGTGTAGGTTACAGTAATTGTAATCAGTGAAAAGCCATTTTAAAGCCATTTTTCTGTGTGATAAAAGTACTGGATGTCCCTGGCGAATAAAACAAACGATTGTAATTAGATTCTGATGTGTTTTCTGCATGTTTATATTCGACAAAAACATTAATTAGGCAAGATTTTAAGCGGACTTATATACGAGGAGCACATTTGTGTTAGTATTGCAAATATTGATAAATACAATAGTTTTAAATATGGATAAAATATGAAAACAAGATCATCATGAATAGGTGGTGAATGAATGAATGCATGAATGAACGAACGAACGAACGAACGAACGAACGAACGAATGAATGAAGTTCTAATTAGTGGTTTAGTGTTCACATTTATATTATGAATAATATTTTGTTGTAGAACATTGTATCATCTGCTATATAAATATGTGTAATACCGGACCATCTATCTCACACTTGCCAACAACATCCATATAGATGTATAATTCTTTCGTCGTTTGTTATAATGTCTGATACTAAATACTATCAACATAATTATTCTTTGTTATACAGACCGTCCATTTTAGACAAAGTCGGTATAAAAAATACAACCGAGTAGAATATAGTGTCGTTAAAAAATGGCATTTTTTTTTAAAGAAAAAGACCAATTTTACAATGTCCTTTAATAAGGAACGAGACTTCCAATTAATAGTTTTGTTCATTCTTTTATTCACATTAGACACATTCAATAATAATTTTATAGATTTACATAAATTGCTTTGATTAAAATATTTTATTCAAGGATGAGCCTAGCTTATCTCTAAAATCAGAGAATTTGTCTGATAGTATATAAATAACACATGGGTTTGTGGGTAACAGTAAAAATATCATCCCGAGTAAAATACTGTTACCCGAGGGCGTAGCCGAGGGTAACAGTATTTATACGAGGGATGATATTTTTACTGTTACCCACAAACCCATATGTTATTTATTTTATTACCCCGAACAAATACTGTGATGATCTGAATTTGGCAACTAAATCTAACTGTAACAAAATAAGCCAAGAGAAGCAATAACTAAACTGTCCTTACCTTGCAAGTTTTAAGTGCACTGTAGGCCTACTTGAGAAGCTGTTTTTCTTTTATTCTTTAAGCAAGTGATGATATCTACCAGTCATAAACATAAAATAAGATGTGTTTTATTCAAAAAGCAAAACACTAACTCATTTATAAGGTTATGATCTGTGAAATCTGGATCCTTCTGCATCCATAATATTCTTCGCATGGTTTTTGACAAAGTGCATTTAGAAAATAGCAATGATATCCTACAGATGTATGTCCACAAACTCTATCTGTAACGTTTCACTGGTTAAAATTGTTAAATTATCCTTTGTTGCATGCTTTAATTGTCTGCATGTTTCAGTTTGACACAAAATTATTTATATTACAATTACTTCCGTTGGAAACGGATGTTTCCTGTTGACTATTTAACAAAAAGATATTTAATACGCGAAAGGGACTCTATGTTGCAAAGAACTCCCACAGGCCTATGGGAAATTAGCATTACGAAAAAAGTGAGGGGTAATAATATTAACTATCAAATACTCTAGTACTGGTTCTTTCTTTCAGTAAAGATTACTACACTATATCCAACAAATCTTACTACTGCGTTATTTTTGTATATTTTGAGTTCTCATTTATTAAGATTAAAGAAGGTTAGGACGAGTGTTTTGTCAATTACACGTATCTTCGAAATATAAATCAAGATATTATTATTAGTATCGACTAGAAATATAAATAATTATGTAAGTACTCACTTTTAATTTAATGATTCCTTAAGATTATTTAAAAGGTGAAATAAAATTGTATTCAACTTTATAATACTTGATATCTAAACATACGGTAAGATGTGATAGTATGAGAGACAAAATACAGATAATCTTTCGGTTAATAGCAACTTAAAAGATTAATCAAAGTTGAATATGGAAACCATTTCTAAAACAGGCGCGTATCTTTAAAAGGGGCACCGCTGGAGCGGTTTCCAAAACCTTTTAGTGGCGTAAATTGACAGTTTAACTTTTTAGTTCTTTTTATCCCGTTTGCTTGGCTCACCAAAGTAAACTTAACAATTAATTACTATTATTGTTAGGTACTTACGAGCGTACTAAACTATATCAGTATGGGACGTAAAAATAAATATTTTTAACACTGGTTAAATACACTGTGGTGGGGTGTGTGATTCCCATATTGATCTCAAACTGAGTATCGATAAAAATATATGTGAAGTTCCGTTGATTCAGATGTTGATTAAGATGTGCAAAGATGTGCACTCTAAGTGAAAATAGGTCAATTGCAAGGTAAGTTTTCTATTATTTTTACCGCGTGACTTACGCAGTAATGTATATTTTTGAACATTGTGGTAATTTTTATTGAATGTAAATGACGTTTACAATGTTTAAAATACTCGATTGATAACGACTTAGATATATGGCAATGATTATATTTTAAAATCTGTTTAATTTCCGTTAAACATGTAGCATGTCCACCGCTATATGAATTGTTAATTTTCATACAAATCTTAAACTCTGTATTCATTTATATATTTATTTAATTAATTATAATTCAAGTTTCAGCTTTACAGTATTATGGATTTCATGTAACTTATTATAAGTGTTTTATTTGAATTAAGCTTTATATAATAAAAACGCAACAGGTCTATTTTACCGGCCGACCACAGCGTGGGCGATCACGTACCAATTGTTTATGCTGACATTGGGTCACCGCAAATAGTATTTGCTGATTTTTTGTTTTATCTTGTCAATATTGGAATAATAAATATATACCATGTTCCAGGCACGCATTTTCCGATTCAAGTTATGCATATTTTCCCAATATGTTTTGAGAAAGTTTGACGCATATTTTACTGAAAATATTGCCAATTAGATTCTTTTTCTGCAAGCATATCGGGAAAAGTAAAAGTGCTGCTATGAAAAAATATACACCGGTGGAATTGCCAAATATTTACATGGAACTTTGTTTGATTTTTTCAGATATTAAAAGATATAACGAATAATTAGCAATGCCATTTTCACTCTTGGCCAACTTTTACCGTAAATAACGGACACATGGTCACACTTTGTGCAACTAGCTGACGCCTTTTTTAAACACATCCGAAGTTTTCGCCACTCATTATGTATCGGATAAATATATATCTAAAAAAGAAATTCGGTTAACATATGCTGCCCAAAGGTATGCACATTTGAAAGAGACATTTAGGACATTGAAAACCATTCATTATCATTAGAAATCTCGAAAGAATCTACATAAGTGACGTAATTGTTAACAGATACGAACAACACCAGCATTTATTGAACTGTCTGACTTTCTAACCTCTTAACTTGCTGAACTTACACATACTTCTTTTGCAATGTATAGTCAAACGCACACATTTCAAATTAAAAATGAAAATGAAAAAAGACTTTGGGTTTTTGAATGCACACGTATATCAAATAACATACACGTTTATATATTGCGTTGTTGTTGTTCTTCTTCATAAATAATCAAAAAATTGAATACTACAAAAAACAAAATGTACAGTATGTTTACAGTTTCCGTTAAATAATAAATCTTACTGTAACATTATTTTATCTTCAAAAGTAGAGTAAGCTTTTATCACCAGATATAATCTATATACAAATATATTTTTGGCGTTATCTGTCACTATCAATTCAGGTTTAAACCTTGTACCATTCCTTTATCAGAACAGAACATGTTTTATTACACATAAACTGTACGGTTTTAAGTGTTTAACAAAGAACATATACTATATACCTTTATCTGTTTAAGTGTCATTTTACAATCAATGTACGATAAATAAACAAAACCCTAATTTTCGTCCAAGGCATGTAAAAATGATTCGTAAGCGTGGGAACCACAATCTGACTAAAGTTCAGATCTACGTATTTCTTTTATGTAGATATGATAACGACCGTGTATGTTTTTCCTTCTTTATAATTAAGATTTCTGGAAAAAATATATTTTAGCCATGCAATAAAACCGGTTTTTACATAGGTATTAGAAGAATCATTAGAAGCATTATCAAAATACCGTTACACGTGGAAGTTAAACAAATTGTAGTAATTTTTAAAATAAAAAATATAAAAAAAATATTTTCAATTTGTAATGGGCAAGATTGTTTTGCCAGTTTACGCTCGGCTTTATGGACAACGCCATGTTTGTTCTCGAAATCGTGAAAATTACCATGATCTCAGTATTGGTTTCCGATTGCATGGAACCATTACAAGCAATTTGTGATTTTTTTATTTGATTTTTATAAGAAGTAACTTTCACATCAGTTTCCCAAAATTGTCAAGTCTATACATAGCTCTATCTATACAAATGTTTATTTACATTCGCACTGTCAACTGCATTTGCCTTATGCTATGTTCTCACCGCCGATCAGATCAACTCGATCGTCCCGATCACATTAATTCCCCGATGAAGCCCGACCAAGCTGGATTAAATGCACATTCACGACTCCTACACGACCTCAAGTTGACCCTACACGATGTTTTACGACTTCATCTCGACGACAACCCGACCAACAACCCGACTTCTTCTCGATCACCCAGACCTATAGGCGTGTCATACACGATCTTAACTAGACTAACTGGACCTCTGCTCGGTCGTTGCCAGATTTCCACCCGACCAGATCGTAATGATCGTAATTGAGTCGTGAATAGTCGTATATCGAATTGTTTAGAATATAATCTTAAACATTCCTAGTTCAAATCAGTTAGGATGGAGATTGAGCAGTTGCAGTTGTGGTCCAGATAGTCCGAGTACTCGTACTGCATATTGCCTTTTTGCCCTTTCTAGGCATTTTTGTTGTCAGAATTTGGAGTTGCTCTATCTAATGAGACACCAACAATAAGTTTACATCTACATATTGTTTAGGTTTCGTGAACTCGTGTATGGTCGAATAACTATCGGGAAGAGATCGTGTTTGGTCGTGTAGCAGTCGCGTAGTAGTCTAGTTATTCTGGACAATAGATCGAACAGAGGTCGAGTTGATCGGGCTGCGATCGGATAATGCTCAAGTAGAAGTCGAAATGATCGTGTACAGATCGGGTAATATCATGTATACCCGATGTATACCCGACCAAACTAGATCGTTACACGATTTATTCTCGATCAACTAGATCTTCTTCTCGATCACTATACGATCGCTTCTCGACCGCTGATCTACTCAATCACTACTCGAATGTTTTTGACATGTCAAAAAAACTCGGGTAGGAAGCCCGAGCCATGCCGACCAAGGTAGACCGACCCGACAATCCCCGATCACGCATGCAGACCGAGCTAGACCGGTACCGATCGCTTGATCGTGCATGATCGATCGGCGGTGATAAAACAGTATTACATATTTAACATCGAGATGCTGGCTAGACATGTTACTGAGCATGCGAAATATGTATATATTTATAAAGTAGCTAATAGCCTATGTTACTGCAATTCCACTCTTTTATAACTAAAATAAATTTGTGCTTTAATATATCATCATACAATGTCATATGGGAACTAGATAATTCATGTGTACATTTTTTTAAACAATCTCTTATTTTCTGCAAGAATAATTAAGCATTTAATAATTATTTACTATACATCAATTTTATTTTTTTAAACCATTGATTCCCCACAGTAACATCCCGACCACTGCGTGTGCGGTAAGGTGAAATATTTCTGTTGATGTAACGAGTTTTGTAAATGGCAGAATTAATGTCCAGTTGTCCCGACATTTTCTGACAGCGATGTTGCATTTATTTCTAAAATAAGGTGATGAAGGATCTTCCTTGTTTTTGATGACATCGGAGACAAATGTTTCTACAGAGTTTGCACAATTTTCCCGAGTTTTGTGGAGAAAATGCTCGTAAATTGAGTTATCCGTATGACCTGTCATCGTGAACTGCAATGATCACGGCTGGTTCCAATGTTTGATTTTTTAATCCTTCATCAGTCGTCTACACTAATTTGGGAAGGGATTATGACCAGTAAACCCGCTTAATTAATTTGAGTATGTTAATTTCGCAACTACGTCCTCAAATGTATTTATTGGGTAATACAGTCCTTGGTTATTCTCATTGAGTGCTTTTGGATCAAAGGATACTCGTATTGTGCCTATCGCGGGTTACTTTTGTATTAACTAATTCAGTAAGTTCTGTTACCCTTTTGTCTTTTTCGGCCATAGATCATTTTAAATATTCTCCTGTAGTGCTACGGGGATTGCCTCCATGGACATAAGACACACACATCAATTTCTTTTTAATGCGAAGAACACGTTCCCGGAAATAGACCAATACCTTTAATTGGTCATTATATTAAAAAAGTTTTTGATAATTTGCTTTGCTACCCTGAAAATGTTAACTTGATAAGCTCAAGTTAGTTTGCCTTATCCCTAGTTAGAGTAGCGCTTCCGTTTATAAGTCTTTCTCTAAATTTGCCTGATTTACACCCGAGCACTAGGTGGTCACACACCATGTCGTACGTATAGTTAAAATTACATTCTCTTTCGCTGATACGCAGTCGTGTGAAAGAATCTTCTCAGTTTTCTCATTGAATTTTGTTCAAAAATTAGATTTAGTTTCGGTTTAGCATGTGCCCTAAACTGATCGGTTTCGAACATGTCTATGTTGAGTGTATTTCTCGACCCTAAACTCCAGCCCATCACAATAAATATGATATTTGTTCTGGCTCCGATTTTTCTTTTAATGGTACTGTTAACATTAATTTTGCATGTCTATCAAATTTCTAGATTTTTTTTGGCAGGTGAAATGACTTCCAATCCATTTATGTGGTAAATTCTATTAAATTCCGTTTCAAAATTTTAATGTAATTTAATGTCGTCATAGTACAATAAAATCTCACAAAGCCCGTGGTATGAGTCATGTGCAGTAAAGAATGACGTTGTCAGTTGTTGTCAGACAATCTAAATAATAGGTGTTTTCTCATATTGTTTTGATAATAATCCAAATGAGTATAATATTTTGAATATTTTTTTAAAAATTTCTTCCGACACTATGTTTGTTTTTTTGGAGATTTAATATAAACATGTAGGCTATACAAAATAGTGATATTACTCGAACACTTGTACAATTATAAATCGTCATATTGAAAGCACTCAAGTCAAAAGTGTTATTCATATTGGCTGAAAAGAAACTAGCCCACTTAGTGCAAGGCCCATTTCAAAATGATGTAGACGATTGTTAATATTCTATTGCCATAACAATAGAAAGAGTGTGTTCAAAATGTATGACGTATCTTTTACAACAGCAATAATGTGTATATAAAATTGTTAAATTGTAAGCAAAAGTGAAACTATACACGGAAATGATAACATTTGTGGATATCAACGAACACTAGTATAGAAGATCCCAGAATTATGAAATGAGAGTTTGAAATAAAGCTAAAAGCGTAGAAGATATACTTGCTTAAAACAATCAACATTATCATTAAATTATTCCCTTTAAGCATTTACTTGATTAATGATATCTTTTTACTATAGAACGTTTAAAACTTGTATACACGTATAAATCGCTGTACTATTCAAGATTTAATTCTTCATGATACGAATAGTTGTTTTAAGAAACCATTATTTTCTTCACTATTGTTTTAATGTAGTTTACGATAATGAGCTATGAAATGCATACATATGTAAAAGGATAACCCCATCAATGTCAAATTCCAATAATGTTTTGTTTTCTAAAAGCTATTATTGAATTATGCTATAATATCAATATGAAAACGAAAATAAAAATATGAAAAAATGTAAAAAATTACGACACACATATTCTTATGGTTTAAACAGAAATCATGTATAAGGATATATGTTAAATGTAAGACTTACTACATAATTTTTCAAGTTAGGCAGAAATTAAGATATCCTTATTTTCTATAATGCATCTTCCAATTCTTTCTTATGCTGTGCATATATCGTGTTATTTGGACTTGACTGTCCTATCTGTTAAATAGGGGAAAGTATAAAGAGTGTTTGAATATGTGGATTTGGAAGGTAAATAATTGAAAATTCATGACAAAACATCACAGAAAACATGCAAGTGTAATAGCAATTATCAATAACTATGCGTAGTTTTGAATCCAGCTGTACATGTTTTACTAATCAAAAGTTATTGTTTGGCAATAGTGGGCTTAGACTGTATAACTTAATATCTAGGAGGTTTTTTTGTTTTGTTTTTTGTCAGTTTCCGGAAATTTTACAATTAAAGCATTGAGTTTAAATGACAATGTAAGGACATACCCATTAAGGGTGGTTTTCAAATTTTAATTAATCAGGATAATCGTCATTGTATGACCTATTAACTGCAAATATATCTAACTAATATTGCATACACATACAACGAGTCGCTGTTATAAACACCAGACCTGGCTTCAAATGTTTCTATAATAATCATCATTGTAGTATGACACTGCAAGATGTCTGATAAAAAGAGGATATTGAATGAGTATAGATGTACCGAATTTATTTAAACGAGTTGAATAAAACTTTTGTTCATGATTTTCAATTTAACAGTTTGTTTTTATATTTGAACGATTTTAAACATTTACGTAATCTTTTATCGAGCCAAATCGCAGATACCGTTTACAGATAAGATAATAAATGACATTTATAATGAGTGCAACAATGTGATGAATTTATTTTCTGTTTCTTGTCGAATTCGTTCTGAATTCAGGATTGTTTTTATATACGTATTTCAAAGGTATGATAGATTATTAAATATTGAGTGCAATTTACTAGTAAGGATAAATTGAACAAGGATGATGAGATGGTTGCATTGATTTTAGATTTAACATTTTTCAAGATTTTAAGAAAGACAAAACAAACACAATTTGATAAAGCTCAGAGGAAACCCATAATTAGCTTTATAAAAACACATGTAGAATGTTAATCACAAAAACTGTTTCATTTAAAATGACAGTGATATTTCTTAATTATACAAATATTTTAAAGATATTTTAAATCAAAATCAAATATATCGTACTGAATTTGATATTTAGGTATTTGGAAAGACAAAAAGACAGTTTTCATTCTTTGGTGTCACCAGTATAACCATTCAAAACAATATATGTCCTTTTTCATTTTAATGCTTCTCTTGAAATGTTTGACAATACATTGCTTTATCTATTGTAAATAACTTTATTAACGAGCATGCCGTAAAGTACATGTTTATAAAAATAACAAACACTTGTTTTATGTTGTTGGTGTTCTGCATAAATAAACAGAAACTTGAATACTACAAAAGGCAAAGGTCTGAAAGGGGTATGTACAGAATGTACATTATGTTAACAGTTGTCGTTCATGCAAACTCGTCATTTAATAAAGCTTAATTTAACATAACCTTATTTTCACGGATAGGGTCAACTTCTACCATCAGTAATATATGTACAAGTACATTATCTTATTTACATTGCTGCTTTATCTTTCACTATTAATTTTAGTTTAAACATTGTTACAATACTTTATCTATAATACTGTTAATAGTGTAATGTCGCTGTCAACCAAAAATGGGTAAGAGTGGTCAATTATAAAAGCGACGTTTTCACAGTAACTAATGTTTTCTTCTACATAATTCTCATTAATACAAAAATATTTCATATAAGAGAAAACAGTTTGTAAACAACATTAAAATCTGGCATCATATTAAAAGGAAAAAAATCAACACTAGTCACCTTCATCTTGTATGCATTCAAGTCAATAGTGCTCGTTATCCTGGCTGAAAAGAAACAAACTTACACTTAGCACATTGCCCAATGCAGAATCTGGGATACAACTATTGCCTTAACAATTAAAAAAGTGTTGTTGTTTGTTTTCAAAATGAATGAAAACATTTTCAAAAGTGCAATATTACAAGAAAATTATAAACTTCGTGGATAAAGCAACCTTCACTAACACTTGCATTAGATGTTAGAAAAACAAACATGAAATGAGAGTTAGAAAAAAGCTTTAAAATATAGAAGATAATTATATTTGTTGAAAATATTTAATACATGTTATTGTTTAATCTACCTGAAGTTTTTACTTAGTTAATGATATCATCTTACTGAAACAAGTGCCAAACTTTTTGAGCTATACAATATTTAATTCTTTATTACATGAAAAGTGGTCTAAAAGTACTTAATGAAATTATTATTTTAAAGAAATATTTATTTAAATTTACTTAACAAAAACTTGGGAATACAAAATGCCCAATAAGTACTTCAGTTTGTAATAATGAGCTATGAAATACACACATATGTATTGCTTATAAATAAGGATAGCCTGAGGATAGTCCAATGCTATTTCATTTCCTAAAAACAATCACATGTACAATTTTAATGACTTATGCTTTTATATTGAAACGAAATTCAAAGTAGAAAAAAATATGAAAAAGGTAGAAAAATGCACTTACTTGTAAAGTTATAAAAGAAAGCAAAATAATTGTATCACTTTCTAAAAATATATATGAAATTGAACCTTTCTGATACCTTCTCCTAGTAAGGCAGACATTAAGATAAACTTCATGGTAACAGTTTAATTTCCATCTTATATTGATGTCATTTGATGATTTCAGAAAATAATCTCGGATCCTATCTAAATATGTTACCATGTCTATTGCTTTCTAATACATGTAGTTTGGTAAGATATTAAACTCAGTCACAGAGAATGTTTTCTTCAATACAATTTCCTGGTTTTGCCATACAGTATCTTGCATGGTTTTAATACTCTAGTCTGAAATAAAAAAAAATACATTTGAATAGTTTAAAAATGGTTTATTTTTTTTCTTTTATCTTGATTGTGAAGTGAAATATTAGCTTATATTTATAACCATCAATTTTACAGCAGTGCATTGAGGGCAAATGTAAAAACGTATCTTTCTTTCTTATTTAACAGCAAACCTGTTCATAGAGATATTTCCCGAAATTTTCTATGGAAGCAAATCAAGTACTTGGACAAACTTACCCGTGCAATGTGGCCGAAATTTTTCATATTTTATTTTTCATTTCAACAATATTGTAATTGTTTACATATCATTCACACAATAATTACATATAAAATAATCACTTGTATCAGTAACTACAAATAATAAATATTTATTACATCAATTATATATAAACTAATTATTTCAAAACATGGCGTTATTCTAAGATTTTATGTTTTACTATTACCACGGTAGTGTTCCTCCTTGTTAATGTGTGTCATAATCAGTTATAGAGCTAATACGAACACAGAACTTTGATTGATAATGTCTGGCAGACCCAGACGTCTTTATTGTCTTAGAATAGATTATGATATATTCAAAAGATTAACCAAAAACTTCAAATACGCTTTTATACAGAAAACAATTGCAGCAAACGTTATAATAGATAACACAAAGTTGGACAACAAAAACCAACAATTGTAGCAAACTTTATAATAGATGACACAAAGTTGGACAACAAAAACCACAACAAAAACCAACAATTGTAGCAAACGTTATAATAGATGACACAAAGTTGGACAACACAAAATCAATAATACAATAGATGGCACAAAGTTGGACATCAAACACGCCCAACATATGTAGAATATAAACTAATATTCATAAAATATTTTTGCAAATCGTGGTCGACTCGCCCAGGAAAAAGCATTGTCTGGAAACCTGTGCCCTTTTATCTTGTGTCTAGTACCACTTGATGTAGGGCTACATCCTTGAAAAATATTTTACAAACCCTTAACTTCAAGTTAGTAGGCTGATTAACATAAAAGTTAAGTTTATTCATTTTGAGTACAAAATGATAATATGCAAAAAAAAATAAAGTAAAACAAAAACAAAAGGAAAACTTCATAGGTAAAGTCCAATGTGATACATAAAGACTACAAAAAAAACTATTACATTAAAATACAACATATCCAAGTTAAATGAAGTTATTTATATCACTTCTAGTTCCGGTGGGTGCAGGGTAGGTAAGGGAAGAAAAAAAGAATATAATATATATAAGTATTGCAGTATTTAACTACAAATGTGAGTCCGGGTCAAAGAAAATGATACTGTATAGAAGTTGTCAATCGCGCGTATTTCAAAGAATGAAAGGGTTTTGCGTGATTCATTACAACTTAATCAAACCAAGCCATCTCCCTTCCCATGTGAAAGTGTACAATTTGCGCGCCTCCTGCTGTTATTGTGCAGTCATAAGAAATATACAGTATATGGAACAGATTAATTAACGTTACAGTATAGGCTTGAAATACATATCTTAAAGAAATTGGTGATGGTTACTAATAAAACATAAACGAATTTATATGCGATATAAATTACAATTTTATGCATGTTATTTCTTGCAATCTTAGGTGTAGTTGTTGTTATTAATATAATATTTAGGAAAAAGATATCAAATTGAGTGCATTGTTGAAGAATATTTCGAGTTCAAAGGCGTAGGAATATAATCACGAAACCGATAGGTCTAAGTGATAAATTACAAAGGTTTTGAACGAATGACCATGTAATGTTATACTATTACAATGCATAACAAATAAGTGTCTATTTCCATTCTAACATGACAAAAGAAAAAAGAATGTATAAAGATATTCTAAACTGCATTAAGCAAAGAAGTAATTTTCCAGACGCCATTTTCTTAATTGTTGTCATATCTGAAGTCATATAACGTGTAAGCATTACTTTTTTATATTGTGCATATATCGTGCAATAATGCACTTGAATCTGTTTGATAGGGGAACAGTGTGAAGCGTGTTTGAATATGTGATTTTTGAATGTAAATATTCAAAGATTTTTGACAAATATTTTAAAGAAAACAAGTAACTGTAATATTAATCAACTATAGCTTTGCGCAAATTTAAATCGACTTATTGTACCGATTATACGTTATTGTTTGGCAATATTGACCTGGAACTCAAAGTTATCTTTTACGATTAAGGCATTGAGTTGAAATAATAGAGTAAAAACCTACCCCTTCAGGTTTGTTACCAAATCCTAATTAATCAGGATACTGGTCATTGTTTGACAATATATCTACCTCATATTGCATACACTTACAATGCACATCAAAACATAGCTTCTAATGCTTGTTGTAAAACACGGCAACATAACTGGTAATTCATAAATAGACCATATTGAATGAGTGTAGGTTAAATACCGTATTTCCAGATTCATTGAAAGAGTTGAATAGACTAATTTTATGCCAGCCTCTGGCGTTAAACAACGAGTTCGATGAAGTTAATAATGAAGCAATACGAATTTGTGAAATATCAAATAAAGAATTGTTAACAGTAAGAAAAGATTCATTTTTTCATTGACGCCATTATTGTGTAACGCACCTTTACGCAATGCCTGTTTTTATAAAAGTTGAGCTAAATTGTTGTTGATATTGTTGTTGATGATGATTGTGTTGTTATTCTGTAATACTGAATAGCATGAATCATAAGAAATTAAGGTAAGTTGCTATTTATAAAGCTTGTCTGCTTTTCGTGAACGTCCCTCTCCAATGTTATATCCTTAAAACTATACATCACAAAGTCTTCATATTTCACATATTGATTGGTCATAACTAGTAAATGACCCATATTCATCTTAAGGTCACTAGGTCAAAGGTCAAGGTTGCAGTGGCCTTAAATGTCAGAATAGTTTCCGCTGATTATCTTAAAAACTGTTAATCACAAAGTCTTTATATTTTGCATACTGGTTGCTTATAATAAGTATATGACTCCTACATCAAAGGTGAGGGTCACAGGGGCCTTAACTAGCAAAATGTTTTACGCTGCATACCATGGAAATTATTCATCACAAAGTCTTCATATTTTACATACTGATTGGTCATAATAAGTAGATGACCCCTATTAATTTTAAGGGCAACTAGGTTAAAGATGAAAGCCACAGGGGGTCTTTAAATGTCAGAATGGTTTCTGCTGATTATCTTAAAACTATTTATCACAAAGTATTTGTATTTCAGCTACTGATTGGTCGTAACTAGTAGATGACCCCTATTGATTTTCATGTCACTAGGTCAAAGGTCAATTTCACAGCGACCTTAAATGTCAGAATGGTTACATTTATATGATTATTTATATATTTTATTCCAGCTACTCTCCAATTTGTATAACTTATTAATGATAGCTTTCATTTAGTTTCAGGTCATATATTGGTCCTTATTTTTTTCCGTAACTGAACACTTCCATTACTTATTTATAGCATATTTTTATAACAAAATTACCAATGGTATGAGTCAAGGACTAGAAACGGGGGCATATGTGTTGTTCGACATTTCTTGTTTTATTTAACAGTTTGTCTTTTAATTGGGATGATTTAAAACATTTACGTCATATTTTATCAAGCAAAATCAGATCTAGAGATACCATTCACAGATAAGATAAAAATTGAATTTATATTTAGTGCAACTATGCGATGAGTTACCTTTCTGTATCTTGATGATTTCGTTCTGACTGAAAGCATTTTATTCAGGATTTTTTATATATAATTCAAAGGTATGACTGAATTATTTAATATTGACTTCAGCCAATTTACTAGAAATGATAAACTAAACAAAAAATTAAATGATTTCATTGTTTTTGAATGATACATTTATCAAGAATTATCTTTTACATTTAAGAAAAACAAAACAAATACAATTTTATTAATTGACAGGAAAATCATAATTGTCTTCATACAAACATACGTAGAATGATTATCACAAAATCTGTTTCATGTAAAATGACATTGATATTTCTAAATTATACAAATATTTTAAAAATACTTTGATTCAAATTCAAATATATTGTACTGAATTTGATATTTGGATATTTGTTTGCATAATGGCACCAAAATAGCTTGATTTTCTGGTTTAAATAGCAAATGTGCCACGAGTCCATTGCGAGATATCATAAAGACAGTCTTTAGCTAACCTGTCACAAAATGACAGGGTGAGCTTTTGTGACCGCTTGTCGCCCAGCGTCCGTCCGGCGTCCGTCCGTCCGTCGTCCGTAAACTTTTACTTTAAATGACATCTCCCAATAAACCACTAGGCCAATTTCATCCTAACTTCACAGGAATGTTCCTTTGGTGGTCACAACAACCGAAAACAACCGAAAGAAAAAACTAAAAATATTTTATTTAAGAAAATCAAAGAGCTAGAGCTTAGATATTTGGCATGAAACATCATCTAGTGAGTGTCTACTAAATTTGTTCAAATATAAGCCCTTGGATTAAAATTGGCCCCGCCGCAGGGGGTCATTGATTTTCCCTATATGCATGTAGTAAAAACTGAAAAATCTTCTTTTAAAGAACCCAAAGAGCTAAAGCTTAGCAACAAAGCATGAAACATTCTAGTGGGTGTCTACCAAGATTGTTCAAAGAAAAAAAAACCCTGGGGTCAAAATTGGCCCCGCCCCAGGGGGGTCATTGTTTTTCCCTTTATGTTAAAACTTAAAAATCTTCTTTTAAAAAATCTTAAGAGCTAGAGCTAAGATATTTAGCATGAAACATCTTCTTATGGGTGTCTACCATTTTTGTTCAAATAAGGGCTCTGGGGTCAAAATTGGCCCCGCCCAGGGGAAATCATTGATTTTCCTTATATATATATATAAAGTAAAAACATATTCTGTTGAAAAACCCAAAGAGCTAGAGTTGAGATATTAAGCATGAATTATCTTCTAGTGAGTGTCTACCAAGTTTGTTCAAATAAAAGCCCTTGGGACAAAATTGGCCCGCCCAGAGGGGGTCATTGTCTCTCCCCATATCTGTATAGTAAAAATCTTTTAGAGCTAGAGCTTAGATATTTATCATAAAACATCTTCAAATAGGTGTCTACCAGGTTTGTTCAAATAAAAGCCCTTGGGACAAAATTGGCCCGCCCAGAGGGGGTCATTGTCTTTCCCCATATCTGTATAGTAAAAATCTTCTTTGAGCTAGAGCTTAGATATTTATCATAAAACATCTTCAAATGGGTGTCTATCAGGTTTGTTCAAATAAAAGCCCCTGGGTTAAAATTGGCCCCGCCCCGGGCGCCTATATACAGGTGAGCGATTTCAGGGCCATCATGGCCCTCTTGTTATTATTTCGTGTCACCACTGTTACCATTCAAAACAATATATGTCCTTTATCATTTTAATATTTCATTTGAAATGTGTGTCTTTGACAATACCTTCCTTTTTCTCTTGTAAATAACTTTATTAACAAGCATGCCGTAAAGTAAATGTATATATAATAACATACACTTGTTTTTTGTTGTTGGTGTCCGGCATGACTAAACGAAAACATGAATACTACAATAGGCAAAGGTCTGAAAGGGGTTTGTACAGAATGTACATTATGTTTACAGTTGTCGGTCGTGCCATCTCGTAATATAATAAAGCTTAATGTAACATAACCTTATTTTCACGGATAGGGTCAACTTCTACCATCAGTTATATATGTATAAGTTCATTGTCTTATTTACATTGCTGCGTTATCTTTCAATATCAATTCTAGTTTAAACATTATAACAATACTTTATCTACAATACTGTAAATAATAGTGTTATATCGCTGTCAACCAAAAATGTGTTAGAGTGGTCAATTATACAAGTGACATTTTTCCAGTAACTAATGTTTTCTTCTAGATAATACTCAGTATACAAAAATATTTCATATAAAAAGAAAACAGTTCAGTTTGCAAACAACATAAAAATCTGACATCACATTAAAAGAAAAAACAGCACTTGTCATATTTTCATCTTGTATGCATTCAAGTCAATAATGCTATCTCGCTATCTTAGCTGAAAAGAAACAAACTTTCACTTAGTACAATTCAGAATGTGGGATACAACTATTGCCTTTACTATTGAAAAAAGTGTTATTTTTTTCAAAGAGTATGAAAATGATTTTCAAAAAGTGCAATATTACAAGAAAAATTCTAAACTTCGTGGATAAAGCAAAACCCTGGGAACACAAAATGTTCCACATGTTCTGCAGTTTTCGATAATGATCTATGAAATACATACATATATACAACTTATAGATGACGATAGCCTGATGAGTGTCAAAAATCAATGTTATTTTATTTCTTAAAAACTTAGATGCAAAATCTTATACTATCATATTAAAACGAAAATCAAAGTATAAAAAAGTTCGAAAAATGCACATACTTGTAAAGTTAAAACATCAAGCAAAAATAAAACAAAAAATGTATCACTTTCTAAAATATATGAAAGTGGAACTTACTACATATTTTTTCTTAGTAAGGCAGCCATTAATATATCTTTCCTGGTAACAGTGTAATTTCCATCTTATATTGATGTCATTTGATGATTTCAGAACACAGTCTCTAATCATATCTCAGTCTATAGCTATTTTTTTTTAAAAAGTTTGTTAAGATATAAAACTCAGAACAGTGTATATTTTCTTCAATAAAAAATTCTGGCCTTGCCATACAGTATCTTGCATGGATTTAATAATGTAGTCTGAAAAGAAAATACAGTTGGATAGTTTAAAAATGTTAAGCTATAATCCTTGGTTTAGACATTTTTATTTTATATTGATTGTATATATTTTTTATCATCATTAATTCTAGGACACCGTTTTTAAATTAATAAGCATGTAAATTACAACTTCTTGGCACACTTTGGGCAAAAATACTACATAGTTGTACACATTTGAAGCCTGTCCTTTAATCGAACCTAGGCCCCATTAAATACCGGTTTAACAATAAAAAAACAATGTTGTGCTTTGAATCGATATTAATCATAGTAACAGAAATGTATTAAGCATTTCACGAACAGAACTGTCATACAATATGTAATATTATGTTGTTTGTTATGGGAGTAAACAAATTATAACTGTAATGAGACATTAAAGGCACAGGTGTTTTCTGTGATTACAAGTTTAATACTGTACATAAACTTTTTATAAGAACTGTAGCACTACTATTATATAGGCATCAACAGATTCTCACTTTATCATGAAAAATATAATAAGCGTTCAATTATTTATTTTTTTATTTAAGATGTCACCCAACCTTATTACAAGATGTTTTGAAAGATAATATTTTGCTTATATATGTATGTGCATAAAATACTTTATCAAACATTATAAATATTGAACTTGAATGCCGATGGTCTCTTAAGAGAAAAATCGCTAGAACTGATCTTAATACTCTATCGAATATTATATATACATATTTATGAAAAACACGTGCTCGAATACATATAATCTATCAATACTTGTATTTGTATTCTTTTACAGTGATGCAATAAGTCTCCACTACTGGAAGCGGAGAACCAACCAGTAATTGTTAAGCTCTACCTGAATTCTAAATTTTTTTCTTCATATAAACTGAACATTGTTTTGCCATGACATATTTGTTAATTGTCCTATGTAAGAATACATATATTTAAAATATTAAGTTATTCTTAATTTGGTGAATTCTGATTTCATCATTTTGAAATAAAATGATAAAGATGAGATATGAAATAAACGGAATTCTTAAAATTCTCAACAGATATTCACGGAATGTTTGTATGCTTTATTATTAGAAAACAAAAATTAACTATAAAGTTTTGTGAAGTTAAAATTGGCTCAACAATGTATCATCTTGAAACTAGCTAATTTTAATATTCCTGAAATGAATAAATAAATCGTTATTGCTTACTATTTTGATTATTTCACTCTACAGAGTTCGGTATTATACTTACACAAAAATAGTTTTCTTTTAGTTTGCAGTAAGCAAGATAATGCCAAACGATACAAGGACAAAAGCTCTTTTAACAGATATAGAAAGGCGCATTCTATATGGAAATGAAGATGCAGAGTTGAGAAAGTCCTTTGATTTGCTCTATAAAGCAACTCAAAATGGATGCTGTCCGGACTCCTTTCATTCATTATGTGATGGAAAAGGCCCAACAGTTACTATCTTATATGGTAAAGGGAATGTGGCTTTTGGGGGATATACCAGTCTATCATGGAACTCAGGAAAAGAGAAACGTTATGAGTGACGACAAAGCATTTCTGTTCTTTAAAGAAGACTATGATAATGCCATTTTGCATACATTTGAGACTGAAAAAGGGAAATGTAACTGGGCTATTACTTGTGATGAAAGTTTTGGTCCTACGTTTGGGGGTGGGAGAATTTCAGGCTATGATCTGCAAGCATTCAAGCAAGGTAAAATAGATAGTACTGATGGATGTTTTCATTTAAATGGCTCGATAAACTTCAACACTCACTACCGCAATACAAAGGTGGATGCAAATCTTATTAACAGTCAACATAAAGTCACAGACATTGAAGTTTACCAAGTGAAAAGTAAGTGAAACATACTTTAATACTTTTGGGTTAATACAACGGTAAATCTTAAACTGAACCGTAATATTAGTTTTTGAAAATAAAACTCCATGATAGAAAAGAAAATGCCTCGTATACTATTTGCTCATCAACCATGCAATTTCTGTGATCATATCCGTGTTTTGTCAAACAAAACAGACAATGGTTAGTCAAGAAGGTAGACCGGAAGGATTACGAGCCATTATCATTCTTAAGAGATAAAGTAAAAAAGGTTATACTTGATGAAAAGTTAATGCAAAAGAAACCATCGAACACCATACTTGCCTTCTGCGTACAACTCTGAATAAATGGTGTTGTGGTTCGGATAAATGGTCTATCTGTTTTGATAAATGGTGATGTTTTTTATCAATCGTATTGTGGATTTTATAGCTGGTAATGTCGTTTTGATATGATGGCGATGAAATTTAGATACATGTATATGGTGTAGTCGTGTTGATAGATGGCGCTGTGGTTTTGATAAATAGTGCAATGGTTTTTATAAATGGTGATGACTATTTAATAGATGAGTTGTGGTTATTGATTAAATGGTGTTGTCGTTTGATATTTGATATATGGTGTTGTCATATCGATATGGTGTTGTCATTCTAATATATGTTTATTTCATAAATGATGTTATTAAACTATGTTTAAATCGTCAGGTTGTTGACCGGGATCAGTTTTATGATGGCAAAAAGTGTTTCGAATGCGATAAAAAACTGAGGCAATTTTTTGTCTCAGTTGAGATAGCCACATCAATCACTTGAGATGTGGAACCCCAAACGTCTTGAAACTTGAAATACAAAAAAAATGTTTATTTGTCAATTCTAGTAGACAAGCTTCTAATGTTTATCAAGATAATATATGTAAATTTGGAAAAAAGCATACTTAAATCTATTATAAATAATAGACATTGAAATACATGTATAAAGAACTGTCCTAAGAAATGAAATCAACTATGGTCTTCCATACAAATATATTATCTTCAATTATCCCAAAATGAATCTATTTGTTGTCTGTTTTAAGGTAATCGTAAATATATAATGAGAAACTGACATGCCTAGAATGTCGTGTTCCTGTATAGCTGGACTATTTGAAGTATCGAGAGTGCTTTTGTAGGCGCCGGTGTCACACTTTTATTGATTGTTACATGCATGTTGATGTCTCAAAAACAACTAAAGACATTTGTTGAAACTTCACATAATAATTTGGAGACCCATAACTCTGACATGAGTTTATGACCCTTTTAAAACTGTTTAGAAACGTTTACATTATGCAGGTTTTTGAATTACCATTAAACACAGAGACTACTCGTAGTTAAACAGCCAGCTATGCTCACAACACTTGTTGAATTGTATTTTCACCACAAATAGAACTGAATGAAAAATGTAGCACATATATTAAAAGTATAACATTTGAAAATATCAAACTGAAACAAAAAACTTGTAAAATAGTCAATTAAAAGTGAAAAAATAATAATAAAAAACAAACAAGATCAATAGAATTATTATCATTATTACATTAACAGTTGTTGATCTACATTAATTGATCTACATGGTTGATCTATATACCATGATTATTTTTTTTATTTTTGCCTAGAATAAAATACTAATACAGTCGGCTTGATTTATAAAATATTTACAATGTTGCGTCGTGTATGTTGTTCTGTGTGTTTTATTTGGCTTATTACCTTTTCGACTATGGTTACATCAATATCATGTTTTTTATAACACATTTTTTTAATAAAAAATATTCAAATATAATAATTTCATTTATTTCTAGATGAGTATGATAAAGAATGGAGACATAAACCAACGGTAAAATAACATTCTCTATAGTTTCCTTTAACAGTTACTTATATTTGAATTATAATATTTAAGAAATTCAGTTCTATTGTTTCAAAAACTTTTAAGTTAGATAGATAAGCAAACTTTTTCTTATTTTGTGATATTACATACCAGAATACTGGACTGAATGGAGTAGGATATACATAAGTACAGGAAAAATAAAATATATCACTTTGTTTGAATCTCTACTTTTAGTGCATCATGGACCTGCAAAGAATTCAAACTCTATAATGTGTAGATTTATGAAAGTTTGTTCAATCTTATATAATTCATATATTTTTTGCAGGAGGACGAACATGAAGAAATTAAAAAAAGAATAAAAGAAAACAATCCAAATACTTATTATGACATAGCAAGATACAATGTACTGTTGCTAGGTCAAATTGGTTCCGGTAAAAGTAGCTTTTATAATACACTAGTAACTGTGTTCTCCGGTCGTTTAGAAAATAGGGCAGCTGCAGGTGCCGATGAAACAAGCGTGACAAATATGGTAAATTATTGATTGATTAAAGAACGATACAAATTTAAGCGCTTACAAATCATATAAAATGTGACAAACAACAGACAGATCGTTCTTATTATTCTAGCAGCTTGGTATCTATGGTCTACGAGCATGCCAATACAGTTCAGGGTTCTGTGCATGATATATCTATTTAGTGTAATATGCAATGGACCTGAAAAGAAAATAATGTATCATAAATATCTTACAAAGAATATCATTGCACATAAAATTGATATAGAATCAATTTAAAAGAAAAAATGTATTACTTCTTCAATGTGATTAATCACCCTGCTATTTTAATCAAACATAATGAAATATTATTGTAAAATGTTTAGCATCTCCACTTAGTAAAATACCATCTCATTATAATCTACTATTTACATACATGTACAATATGTGTTCAACTAACATATTTTATGCAAAACCTTAAACCACTATACCTTGTGAGTGATATATATTCTATTTATTATCTTATTATCATATTTTCTCCAACAACAATCACTCTACCATCCTGTGTATGTGACCACTTTGCTGTAAAGTTACGGTTATGTTCATGCAAGTTGTTAAGAAAAGAAGAAATAGTATTATAGATCATCAATTACAAATTCTTACACAATGTCCAAGACATATACAACTCATAATACACAGAATGTAATTTATCTTTCAGCTTCATGACTATGAAATAAATTCAGAGGTACATGTTCGCATTTTGGATATAAGAGGATACGAGGAGCAAAGAGGATATGACGAGGAGATCGACCATCTGCTTAACGGAGAAGTTGAAAATGGATACAAGGTAGATTTTTAAAAATATATCATGGTCAATAACTTTTCATTTATTAGGTGTGTGCGGTCGGATAGTCATATTTTACACCACTAAGCCCTTTTATTTGACTTTAAAAATAAAATCACATCTTAACACGACTAGATAAAAGCAAATTACTGACGCGTGCATAAGAGTGAACAACCGTTTCATTTTTCAATACAGTTCCCAGAAGTTTCCGAACCGATTCCTAAGGAAAAATTGAAAAAAGAAACAACCTTAGCTGATGAGATACATGTTGCATGCTTTGTTGAGGATGCCACTGTCATAGATGTTATTTCTCCTAAACTAAGAGAGGAATTCAAAGACCTGAGGAAAAGGGCACGACAAAGAGGTAAATATACCAGTAAAATGACATTTTAGACCTTTTCATTTTTCAATAAACATGATAAAATGTTTTAAAATGTCGTTTTTGGAAACAGACTGAATGAGAGCATCTTTTTTAACAATAACGCAATCGGTAATTTCCGCAACGCTTTTCACTGATGACATAGGAGTGCCATATTATGTCAGTCATTCATGTTTAAACATTTTCTACAAATGCATCAACATATCGAATTGTCGTTCTATAACTGCGTTATTTAGACTGTTTTGTAAATGAAGATTTTGTAAAGAAATTTCACATTTTCTGTGAAAATAAATAAACATGATTTTGCAATGTAGCACCGCTGAATTTTTCGAATGTAACTTACAGTCATTCAACTATTCAAATATATAATACCGACAAAACTGTATGGTAAACACAAATAACCTCTAGGGTCATTGCCATTTTCGAGACAGTATGCTCTCGAAAAAACTTTGTTTAAGTAATCAAAAGTAGATCTTTTAAGTAGGGAAGAAACCAATTCATGCAATTAAACGAAACGTTATATCTGAATTATATATAATTAATAAATGACACTCAGGGTGAGAGCATTTTTACCCTGAGTTATGATTCTTAAAAATGTGTAAATGTCTATTAAGCAATGCTTAATGCCAAAATATTATTTCTGAGTGTTGCTGTTTTCCATTTAAAATTGGATATCAGTCTACATATGGCATGTGACCCCTAGGAAGTTCTTTGTTTTACCTCAGGGTCATAATTAATATACCTTTAGAGGAAGACAACAACTTGATGTCACATGCCAAATATGTAAGTTCTTGGCTTTTAAAATGTATGAGTAAATAGTTTCCAGACATCTTTTTAATATAAGTCTTCGTTAGTGACCCCCGGGTGTGGATATTTTTCTCTAGGTTATTATTTTAGAAACTAAGCAATCGTCAATGTTACCTTAAATCTCAAAACTATGTGCATCGTAGTTTCACAAAATAAGACTAAGACTCTGAAATGAATTTTTTCTTGATCAAGTGACTCAAGGGGAGCGGTGGCCAAGTTGTTAATGTGTCTGCCTCTCAACCCGGAGATCATGGGTTCGAGCCCAATACGGGTCACGACCATGTTTCTTCACTTGATGGTTCCAGGAAGCGGACTCGAAAGTGATAAAGTTGCAAGAATTTGTTTCTCAATCGAGCTAAAATAAATATGTTTGAACCAAGTGACTTAAAGGATTTGGCAAATCAAACCATGAAGCATGCTATCAGTTTGGTGAAGGTCATTGCAAATCTACATGCCCAACATGAGAATACAGAGACACCCATATTATTTTCAGGCATTGATAATGATAGAGAATATAAAATTACTAAGAAGCATATCCATGTCGATGGAATGTAGCGTTTGCTCGCGCAATCAATTTTTAAAAACAATGAAAGTAGTTTGGAGGAAGTATTTAAAAAAAAAAAACAATTAAATAAACTTCCTTTAACAAGAAACTAAATCAAGCCTGAAATCTGATCGAGTGTTTACAAAAATGTAAACAAGAACTGATATATGAATTTAAAGGGATATTCAGACAAAATAATGACAAAAATGATATTATGTATTCAAATCACGCTAAAATGACATTTCTTGAAGTTTCAGCATGAATTTCTCTTAATATTATATAAAGTTTGGGTTTGAGGCGTAAATATATCTATATTTGTTGAACAAAATTTAGAACCTAATACAATCACCAAATAGTTTTAAAACATGTCACGTGACTTAAACAAACCCTTGAAGTTACAATAACAGATATTGTGGATATTGTATGATTCCAACAAGTCTAAGGCATTCATTTGACATGTTCTTTAACGTTTCCAGAGTTCACTTTGACAACTATTGTGAAATACAAGCGCTCTAACATGACCCACGCAGGCCAAGTTAGGAAACTACCATTTTATTCTTTATATAGAGAAAAGTTTTGTTCCTTTGACTATCTAATATATTCATTTTGAGGGCATTTACAGCATAATGAATGAAAAAATCAAAACTAAGAAATGAAAACTTTGCCTGTGTCTCCTTTTAAACGACTTAATTTTTCAAAGAGGTTATTTGGTGAGAGGAATTAGGGTTGTTATTCATGAAAAACTCAGAAGTAAAGTTTTAATCTTCTACACTACAGCCACAGTTGAACAGTTCTAATGACAAATCTTACAAAAGTTATGACTGGTTAACTGGCATTGACAACTAAAACCGCAATTGCAATGGTACACAAATGGTTTAATGTGGAACGTTTGAGCTGGACGTTTCATTCAAGCATTCTAGATATGTAATTTGATTGATGATACCTGAATCTTAAGTTCTTGAACTTGTTGTTAACATATCGCAAACACACACTCCTGCGATGATGTTAGTGGTCACAAGTCAGAGTTTAACTTTAACCAAGAAAGGTGTGTCAGGTATAATTGTATTCTGCGAGGGACCTCTTATGTACAAATTTGATACCGGTAACAATAAAGTCTGGAGAAGGCATGTTGACCAGCTACGAAAATCAGAAATGAAAAATGAAGTATCTTCAAATGTTCATCATTAAATATGAACTCGCTTATTTTTGTTAGAAATGCCAGCTATAACGGAAAGAAATGACCATTGTTAGTAACTGGTAATCGTGAGATAAACATAAAAATGTGAGCACAATCCAATTAATCAGTTACCCTACTATGTTGTAAAATATCATTAAATACCGCGTGTAAACTGTAAGGTCCAATATGAAAAAGCCAATATACTATCTGTATACAAATAAACTATCCCATAACACTATTGATTTTAAAATGTTTTGTACACTCCAATTCTAGAATAAATTTCAACAGATTTTTTTATGGTTTTTGTTCATCAGATTTTCAAACAAAATGTCACCGCCGATGTGTCAGTTTGAAAATACAGAGGGGGATTAAAAACGGCGAGTGCATTTGTTGTAAAATATATCATGCTTCCGACCTTGTATGTTTATATAAACGAAATCTTCGAAAAAGTGTTAGAATGTTGATTCATTGCACGCAACCTGTCTTCATTATTGCCGCACCTTGTGTTGAATTATACTTCTGTATTACTTTACCCGACTTAAGATTTACTACTTGAATGATAGGGATAACTGTTGTATTTACCCGAACATCGGCTTCATAATTGTTTCGTGCAAAAAAAATACAATATCAACAAGGAAAGGTGGCGCTGAACGCACCCCCACACGAAATTGGTTTCATTAAAACTACTGAAATAATATGTGGAGACTTCTAGCACTGATTTCATGACATATGTATTTCGACATAAATATGGTCTATTTTTTATTGTAGAGAATGCAACATTATCCAGGATCTTTTTATGCTATGAAGCACTGCGAACAGGGCAGCACTCTGTCTTACCAACATCTCTTATAATACCAGCGCTTAACTCTTGATATGAGGCCTGTATTATTTTTATAAGACTAAACATGCACCAATCAAATTATAATGAATGATACATAGAAAGAATGCAGTTTTTATAAGCTCACATTTTAAGATTGATTTTATATCCAGATTTGCCTATCATGGTTATTGCAACCAAGTTTGACAACCTTTGTCCAAAGATACAGGAAACTCCTGCATTGGTGTACCGTAGTCCAAAAGCAGAAACATCAACAATAAAAGTAGCAGATATGACTGGAGTGTCTCAAAATCTTGTCTTCCCAATTATAAATTACACAGATGATATTGAGATATGTGCAGCAAAGGACACTCTTGCACTTCAGGCTTTAGATAAGATAGTTTCATTGGCTGAAAACTATGTAAAGGAACAAATTGGTATGAAAATTTATATAACAATAGTAAAACTAAGGAAGAGTTCTCTTATTCCAACCATTCTTTACAAATGGTTTCACTTCTAAAGTCCGTGTGTAAAACTAGACGTTGATGTAAGTAGTTTTATTCTTAACTTTGGAAGCCTCAATTAGAATAAAATCATTTGAGTTTAACTTTGCACATATTTTATTAAATATGTATGGAATAATAAAATGGTGCACATCTTGCAGTTCATTATTTCGTTCTATTACATCGTTTTATTTATAGCTTAAATCATCATTTGTTTTCAGCTTTAAAGAAAAAAATTGATATACTCTGCGAAGGCACCGATCGTTTATTTATTAAGGTAATCAAATAATAAGGATTGTATACCATCAATTATGTATCATTTACATTTTCTTTCCTAGAATTGAATTGTGAATAATTGCTTCATATCAAAGAATCACCAAATGTTGTGTGGCTACCTTCAGACTTATGTAAATTCCGGATAAACATCTCAGTAACACTTTAAAGGCTACTTAAGATTTTTGATATGACAGCTGTAAAATATTTATTAAGATGTAAAATGTTTTAACATTTTTGAGCATTTTTAAAGTACTTTCATTTGTGTAAGTGGTTGAATATTGATTTAAATAACACCTCGAATTCAGAGAACGGAAGCTGAAACCCAAAAATTAAGAAGAGACATATTGAAAAGAATCCAGAATGTAAAAGGATCTACAATGCGCATTTTGTGTGTTGGTGGTATCAAAGCTGGAAAGTCTAGTTTCGTCGACTCTGTTCTTTCAACTGCGTCAGGAATAATTTCCAACCGTGCAACTGGTGGGTCGACCCAAGCTGAAGGAAATGATGCTCGAACAGTGAGTCCGTTAACAAAAAGGGTAAACTATTTGCATTTTTGAAAGTTTCGGTGTATAAGTGTCCCAAATGCTCCATCATTTATAGATTGACAATATTTAATGCATTTTAAAGGTTTTAGATTAACGTGATGGACATTTATCAATGTTATGATGAGCTATAATAACGTATTCTTTTAAACAAAATTAATCATCATAATTATTAAAAGGAAAGACACAAACAAACAAAACAGTGTGAAAGCCACACAAGCTTAAAGTTTTGTAAGGTATGGAAAATTAATTTCACAATACTTGTAAAGATTTATTTGTATAAATAAGTAAGTAAAAGTTTTAAATGTTTCCATAATTATTTTCTGTGCAGTTTAAACCTTTCCCGATCAAGTACAAGTCAGCTGAAGGGGATGTTCAAACTTCTGTTGAAATATGTGACATGCCAGGTATCCAAAGTAGAGGCGGAATAACCTTGAGAGACATCAAATTCGTACTGCGAGGTCATGTCCCTGCAGGATATAAGGTATTAACAGACGGGATATCATTATATTGGCAACATCAAACTGTTAATAACGTAAACCCTAAAGCTTCAGATATTGATAAAATACTTAGAAACTAGATTTTTTATTAAATGAATATACTTTATGTATGGTGTGTTTATGTTATTGAAAATCTTTATAAGACTATCATAAAATACTTCGTAAAGCGTATAATAGGGTTACATATAACAAAATGAAATATGTTTCATATAATTTATTTTTTTAACTTTCAAATATGTTAATTGAAATAAATTTTGGATAACCGACCACATTTTTGAGTTATCTGCATTGCATGTGAAAATATGCGTATTTTGAAATTAGCAAAGCTAAACTGTTCTGCTTTTTATTTAGCATATATCCTTCCGAGTGATTATGAACAAGTTAAAGAATTGTAAATTGTTTTTTTTTTCTGCTTTTTTTAAATGCTATGCCATTTCAAGTTTTTCTTGAAAGAAATGACATATTTTTAAATAATTTCAAGCGCCATACTTGCACAGAATGAAGGGATAAGTAATGAAATTATATGAAATTTTGTATTGTGACAAAGGAAGGAAATGGTAATCCAAAAGTGATCACTAATATTCAACAGAAACAATAAAATTTTCAAATTCAATGGCAGATATCTAATATAATAAGGTCGTTGAACCAAAATTCTGTTCCCTTAAAATGTTTTTGTTATCATATTCTAAGATAGTGCAAAATTTCAATAAATTCTATTGTACACATTAAGTTCTGTTATACATTGTATGTCTATATGTAACCCTAGCATACGCTTTAAGTGTGTGTTAGGAGCGTAACAACATATGATATGATTATTTAACCTGTTCATAATGTTGAATATGATAACCTATTACTCTAGATGCATATTTTAGGTTCATAAATCCGGTTATATTCTTTATATTTTCAGATTGTTAATCATATAGACACAGGATCAAAAGGATTTATAAAGAAGCCCGAAAAAAGTAAAATAATTCACTGTGTCTGTTTTATATTTGATGTGACAAACCAAGAAAATGAAAGTCTTAATAATGATAAGGTTTTCAGAGATCTTAAGAAGTATTTAAATGAACACGGTAAGCAATATATTTTAGTTTTGTTAATTTTGCAAAAAATGCCAGATTAAAATATAAAATTATAGCCAGATTGAAATAGAAAACTAAGATTTCAAGGTGACACCCATATAACCTAGTGTTTGTAATAACGGAGCAGACAATGTATATGTGCTGGGAAAGAATCGGAAAGATACAAAAGTATTTTTTTTGCTAGAAATAACATAGATGTTTTCTTTCAAACGACACATATCTCTTTTAAGTTGACTGAGTTGGCATATATTGTTTCCGTTTAAAAGTTGTTTTTATTACCCGCCTTCTGGGCTACTTAAAATAGAGAGAAAAAAGAATCCCTAAAGAAAGCCCAACATGGCAAAATTGAAAATGTTGCAGGCTCGGTTTGATTGAGCCTGTTCATGGACGGTATTCTCAAGTGCAAACTTCTGTCCACACCCCCTAGCACCGGCTTACACAGAATTCAACATTTAACATGTACTGGTAAAATTTAGAATTTTGGAACATCCGCAGATGTGTTCATATGGCGGTTATCATGGAACCTTAAATGTGACACGTTAGTGCCATTCCATGAAAAACGGCATTTTGTCCAAGTAAAATATTGCATGTGCCCTAAACGAGAAAACAATGGGCGGAACTAAATAAAATGGAATTTTGAAAGGGGAACTGAGGTTATGAAGCCTGCATATCACAGATATGATGTCAAAACACAAATTTAAAAAGCAGGCCCATATCCTAAAGGTTAATACACAGTATTCAAGTGAGGAATACTGGAACCACCCAACAAGAAAGATGCCGAATAGAAAGAACTAGAATACCATAAGCACAACAATTATATCGTGCTGAATGACCTTCAAGGATCGGAAATATAACATACCTGATTGAATGTACGGGGCGACATTTTTCGGCCTTCACACGGCACAAACAACGCTGATGTGGCGATAAAATAGAGAGAAATAAACCCGTGTTGCTGAGTCGTGTCGAGGTTGCATATATTGAATGTCACCCTTCCTTGTTGATTTTGATTTTTATATTATTCTTAAAGATAACTTATGAATTTGTAAAAAGGGTGATTCCTCTAGAGCAATGAAAGTACAACACTAATACAAATTTCAATAATTTAAAGACAGTAACGAGGGTTCAACTTCGTTTATTAAACTTTTTCCAAGTTCCTGGATTTCAATAAATTACATGATGCATATTTCCCAGACATTATGCTTTTTAACTTTAATCACTGTTATCTAAATCATACATGTTCATGAATGTATTCTTAATAGGAGGTTAAAATATTTCAGATAAATTGTGAACCTGTTAAGAGACAGATTACACACTAATAAATTCTTCACAAAGTAGTCTCCCTTAAAAGCTTTTTGTGAACCATTTTCAATTATTGTTTTAGACGTATTAACCAAATGTTCATGATTATCTATTACAAAGACTGGAAATTTGTGTAATAGATAATAATTAACTAACTGTTTCCAGAAAGAATTTAAAAACAACCATGAATTTTCATTGTTTGTGGTATTTTTATTTTCTTTAATTATTTCTTTATCTTGTTGAGATTTTTCAGTATTCCTTCTTGAATACAGTTTATTTTCCAATGCGTTTTCTATTTACGACTATCTATGATATTCAGGATCCCAGTTCTCATTCTCATTTTCATTCCGTCCATTGTTTTCTGGTCATGGTACACACATTCGTTAACTTGGGCAACACAGGACCCTTTCATGGAATGACATGATCATGTCAGATCTAAAGTTCAATGAACACCACCGTAAGAACACATCTACAGATGATTATAGAATAAATATTTCACAATTTCAATTTCATGTATAAATATTTAGCTAGTGGCCGAGGAAGGTAGTTTGCACTTACTTTTCCCGCCAATGAACAGGCTGAAATCAAAGTGAACCAAGCGTTCTTTCATGTTGCCCTTCATTCTTTTCTGTTGCTCCCTATTTTTATAAAAAAAGTAATTTAAAATTCATTCTTTTAGAAAAAGAAAACAGATTTTCCTATTTTTAATGTTTTGATTTATTGTTGTGTACAACATTTTCGGTGTTTTTTGTTTCAGATTATGGTTTCTCTTTTTAAGTACTTTGAAAACTCACGTATTTTCCTCTGCGCTACATACATTTATCGATAATCGAGCACATATTTTTGTATAAAATCCTTATTCCATATAGACATAGTGATACACATGTCCGTTTGTAGCTTAATCAAGTTTTCTTTTGGTTAGTTTCCGCAATCATACAATAATCTTTCTATACAGACTTTTAAAGTTAGTGAAGCCAATTTGATATGATTGAGGTAGAAATAGAGAAAATGATTATTTTATTTTTTTTAAACATGCACGCTCGAACTTTTCCGTGTGGTATGGTTAATCATTTAGACAATCTACCCTTTCATCACTAACTTCATGCACCTGGTCCGGTCGATAGTTGAACCTTCGGCGTCTTTTATAATATGAATTTTCATTTAGTCCCTGATTGGGCTATACCTATATATTATATTATAAAGTTCCGCCCCGGCAGTTAGATGTAGGATGTTTAATTTTAATCCAATAATCCTCTTGAATTCGTGTATTAGATTCATCTATCAACACTCTATAAAGCAAAGTCACTCCCTGACTTATGTCTTGTCTTACTCATAAGAAAGCAGTTGGAAGGTCATAAGCATTGTCATAACTAGACATATACTCATAGTGACAATTTGTAGAAAAGACCGTTTGGTATCTAGCATGCATACATATACATTGCTATCTTTTCCGTTATTCTGTAAAAATGCCTTCTCGCTCATTTAAGGATGCCGTCATTTCCCCTGTGCACTTTTGGGTAGCATTTGCATCCTCTTTGGGAAAGCTGTTTTAATTTCACTTACACAATTGTGTAACCATTCATGCAATTCTTTTCAAAGAGTATATATATATGCAAGGCAGGAGCATCAATGGCTGGTATTTTATAGATTGTCTTTTCGGCTTTTTGTTACTTTTAAAAACAAGTATAATTATACCAATTTCATATGTTGGGGAAGTTTTCTTGTCTGTATTGTTATACAAATAACTATGTTATTGTAGGAAGTAAGTTAGTAACTTAAGGTCCTTGTATTTTATATGCTAATTGCAGATCATATCGAAAGAGGTAGCATGTTTTTAGCTAGTGTGCATTAAGCCAATATCTGAGAGTTGGTAACAGTTCGGTACACTTTCGGTATATGGTATAATTCTTGTTTTTCAGAAGTTTAGAAATGTTCATCACATCGCTCTGACCTTAAGAGTGAATAGACATAGTCATAGATTTTTCATCCTCATGATTCTGTTATAAACTCATTTCTGTCTCTAACTGAGAGCATGTTATGAATTATCTCCCTTTCCTCATTTTGACTAGACTCAATGATAATTTGTTTCCATATTCTACTGCTCCGTCAACTCTTTCATCAATATATGTTCTACTTTTATTAATCGCTAATATCTGTTGAATCAAAATCGTTTGTTAAAACATGAATTGAGAACGCCGGGTCTCCGATCTTTTATCCAGGCCTAATATAGAGTTAATCAGAATCACTAAATGACAAAATTGAAAATACTGCAGGCTCGGTTTAAATGAACCTGTTCATGGGCGATACTGGAAAGGACAAACTACCATGCACACCACCTAGAACTGGTTCAACATTTAAACATGAAAATAAGGAAACTTTGAATTTAGATACATCCGCAGATATGCTCATACGTGGCTTATCACGGAACCTTCGATGTGGCACGTTCGTGCCATTCCATGAAAAGCGGTGTTCTTTCCCAAGTAAAAGCAGTAAACAATTGGCGGAACTAAATAAAATGGAATTTTGAAAGGAGATCAGATGATATGAAGGTATCATAGACAAGATATCTTTAGTCAAATTAAAAAAAAAAGAAAAAAGGCAACATCCTAAGGATGATCATACAGTATACATTATAGAGTAGATATAATGGAACCAACCGAATAGAAAATGTTCTAAAAGAAGACACTGAAAGACCAATAAATATGCACAAAACAATAATTAATGTCGTGCTGAACGAAGGATCGAACATAAAACATCTTTAAATAATTATACGGGGCGATATTTTACGGCCCTTTTTGATTTTTCTTTTCGAAGATAAGCTATTTACTCTCATATATCAAATACGTTGTATGTCGTTGTTTTAGGAATACCTTATATGGTTGTGCTGACGAAAATTGACGAATTATTGAGAACAACAAGTGAAAAAGCAGAACATGTAACAAAGATGAAAACCGCCATAGATTCAATTTTGAAAAAAATCGAATGTAGACGAAATCTCCTTTTCCATGTGAAAAATTACATACATGAAGAACGTGTGAACCATGATGTAGATTCACTTATATTAGGTAATAAGATTTGTTTCATTAATACGCCAATGAAAATGTTATACTTAAAAGAAGTATGATCATATTAACTTTTCTTTCATATCTATTCATTCTTGGAGTCGGAATTATTAATGCAATGTACATTTATTTTGATATTGTTGTAATCTAAAAGCAAAATCCTAAATGAAATCACATGTCTAAATCACAAACATTCATAAACATTTTACATACATTTGGTTACTTTAGATACAAGACTTTATTTTCAAAATACCAGATGGTCAAATAAAATGTACCTATGTGGCCGAGTTTATATACTATATATGGCTACAGCAATTTAACATTGAATGATACATTTTGTATCCATATTTACAGACATACCTACCTACCTACGATCCACTCACACACATGTTTGCATATACATGTGTATATCCAAATATGCAAAAACACTCCTAGATGCAACCCATTTGTTTACTTAAATTGATATGCAAAAGATATATCCCCCATTATGTATAACAAAATAAGCAGAATACATATTAACATTAAACTTATATGTTCACATACAAGTCTTATAGTACAGTAATAAGGAAATTGGTCACAGCATTCAAGAAAAAAAGTGACATGCTGGTGACCAATGGATTTCATTTCATAAAATTATAGAATTTTACCTTTTTAGATGTTAAACGAAAATTGCACTTTTACAAGTAAGCATAGTATTTGTTTATATAGTCTGATTTTATTGCTCTGTCAATTATGAATACATTAAAGATCGATCCCACTTCGGTTTGGTCCGTGTAGATAACGAGAATTAATGTGGAGTAAATTAGTTATGGATTGAAAGTCATGCAAGCTTAGAGTGAAGGTTTTCGTAATATACAATAGTATAGTCGGTTAAGAGAATGCCTGATAATTGAGAGGTCTGTGGTTCGATCCTTACTGTTGCCATTGTTTTAGTACTCTTTCTTTATTTTTGCAATATATTTTAACGGATTTGTAGTGTGTTTTACGGCACTGAAAAGACATTTACTGTTTTTTAACCGTTTTAATTTTAAACATGAATTCTTAAAACATGTTATTTAAAGAGAGTATATACATAACAAAATTAAGTAAAACATTATACAATGTATTACAAAACGAACAACATAAAATAATCATATATAGCGTCAATAATTATGAAAGTATTAATAAGAAAAAAAAAACATGGACCAACGCGGTCTCGAACTTCAAATACGTGTGGCACTAAGATTATAACTCGTGCTTAACCCTATTGCGCTATAACGCTGAGAACACTTAGTTTAGAGATACAAATTAAATTTGATTCGATCGTACAGCGTACATCTCACGGAACTTACCGAAACAAGCCAAACAATATACAGGTTGAAATTGTCACTTGAACATAATGAATATTATTTTGACATTTTGACATATTATAATAAGTAACATTTGACAAAGCTACATAATAAACAAGTAAAAGAGTGATACGAAACAAAATTCAAGTACATTTTGAGTCCTAACATCTTGATAAATAAGTTTTGAGTTATTTTCCTTGTAAAGTTCGTTTGCTCTAAATGTAAATGTCTTTTCTACATTTCTTATGACTTAGATTCTTCTGTAGTAATTAAATCCACAAATTTTTGCATATTTGCTAGTCTTAAATAATAGATTGGTACAAATTGCTTTCTCAGATCAAGTTGTAAAACAAAATGATATTCGTCTTCCAATTTATCGCAAAAAGTACATTTCTAGTTTTTTTTTTGCTGGAGCTTTTATTTACGTCTATGTGATGATACGCGTTAGCGTGATAAACAAAAACGAAATATTTTGTCACGTATACAAAATCAAGATATGGTTGAAATATAGTGTTTCAAATGTATTGTAAAACAAAGCTCTACTGGAATAATTAGGTCTTGTTGATCAGTTTTGTATTAACTTATCCTTTTATCTTTGTGTCGCATTATACAAAAAAATAATTCAGAGTCTCCAACAGTCTGAAATTGTCACTTTTAGTAAACCTTTCATTATTGGACACCATTTTTTTCTGTTTTGAATTTTAATAATATTGTGCTTCAACATTAAGTACACCTTCTTAATATATTTGTCTTCATCTGTAACCAACAACTTTATCCAAAATTTTAAAATGTTATAATGACTCATATTTTGCAAAAATATTCTTCATTATTCACCATAAATAAAATAGAGAAAAACAGAATCTCTAAAGAAAGCCCTATACGGCAAAATTGTTAAATGTTACAGGCTCGGTTTGATTGAGCATGTTCATGGACGGTATTGGAAAGTGCAAGTTACCGTTTACGCCCCCTAGCACCGGCTTAAACAGGATTCAACATTTAAACACAAAAATGGTGAAATTTTTAATAAAGTCGTTTTGAGAACTTTTCTTTAATCTTAACAGTCATTTTGCAAAATTCCATATGTAAGCGTATTACGGTCTTTCCTTCATAAAACCCACATACTCCATATTTATAAATTAAGATAGGTTATATAATTTTTTTTTAGAAAACATTCACTTTATATAGATATATCTGTAAATTTATACAAAAACATATCCATTTTAAAATACCCTTTAGTACTTGCCCAGCAATTGTATTTTGTGCTTCAAAAAAGGATTCACCTGTAGTAAATACAATACCCAGATAAACAAATTTACTAACAATTTCAACCATATTACCATGCTAATAAAATGTGATATTTGCGAAAAGACATCCACATTTTCTTAGTACAATTGCTTTGCTTTTGACAGTATTAGCTACTCTTTTGTAAATCTAAACTGTTATTTACAAATATGATAATATCATAAGCATACAGTATTTTAAACAACTGTATGTCTATACCTTCTAGACACTTTTTAACAAATATATCATCTATACCAATAATTAGCACAGAAATCAAAGAAATAGGAAAGGTGAAAGACAATCAACTAGTCTGACGCCTAAAACACATTCGAAACTATAACTTAACTCATTATTTAACTCATTCAATAACATACAATGGGACCTACCGACTTTTGTAAAAAATTGTTCGTAATTTCATGTGAGATGTAGTGATTACTTTGATTAAAGCTCTCGCATAGCATTAAATTCTCATTCAAATAGACAATATACAACAATATGTCAGCATAAACAAGACCAACCTTGGTTTACTAATATTATCCACAATTGTTGATTTTCTCTTTTTATTTTCTCTGTCATAAACAATATAATGTAACTTATACGGGGAACTCATGAAATTTTAAGAGGATTAAGAATCAAACATACCGAAAATGCCATTAATTTACCAGGGCCGGGAAAATCTGATTTGATTTAATTGTTCGTGTTTTTTCTGAAGAATTTCTTGGTTGCCTGCATGATATTTATATTTTAAATGTTTGAAAATTTCCAATTGTCGATACAAGCTGTGGGACAACCTGGTTAATACGGACAATTGATTCTGCCGCCACTGAATTTACCTCAGGAAAAGTATAATGAGCGGATTTAGTTCCGAAAAACAAACTGTGGACAGAACTAAAAAGTTGCGTGCTATGAAATTTTCAAAATTCGATTTGCCGTAACAATATTTCCTTTTTCTTCATTCTTAACATTAGAAAATCAGAATAAAGCACAGATAATCTAAACTAAAACTAAATTTGCTGGATATCAACATAACACATTATTATTCTTGCATATCAGACAGGATTATCTACCGTTTACACCGGTGCTAAAAAATCATGTAAGAAAGTCGCGGCTTTAAATTTTCGTCATTGGCGCGCCCTTTTTTGAATGAAAACCTTCTTTTGGATGACGTTTATTTTTCCCTTAAAAGAAAATTTTATGTTTTATACGTACTATAAGGGAAAAAAATGAAAAAAAAGAGAATAATCAGTTTTATAAATTTTTGGTTTTTTTTTCCCCCAAAAATAAAATTTTTAAAAAAAATTTTTATTTCCCCCCAAAAAAAAAAATTCAAAAACCGGGCCCGTTTTTTACAACGGGGAAAATCAGCTCTTGGGTAATGTTTACCGAAACTCGGGCCTTTGTTTTCCGCTGTAAAAAAGTAACCCCCCGAGCTAGAATTCGGGCCGTACGGCAGCCCGGGTAATTTTCTTATAATCTGAAACTTCCTTTGCACAAGTATCTTTTTTGTTAAAGGATTTCTGCCATCTAATCACATTATTTAATATTTGAAAATTTTTGGTGGCTCTTCTGACAGATGCATTGGCATACATGCTGAAACAGGGTGAGGAAGGTATAAATGGAGCTACAGACTTTGACAGTAGCGAAGAGAGCGAAGAGGACGTGTCTGCGGAAGAATTTATTGATTGCCAGGAACCACGAAACTAAATATGTCATGCAACCCAGATTTATAAGTAACTGAAGTTAAAGAAATGTTGTAATCAAATACTGAACTACATATACGTATATTTAGAAAATTAGCATGTGTTTATACAAATAATCAGGATTGATTGTTTTATAGCAGAAAGTAGGAAATCAATTACTGTTTTAATGAATTCAGAATCATATTTCTTTCACAAACAATTTAAAAATAAATCTACATGATTGTTTTTCTGCAAAATAATGATTTACATTAGTTTACTCTTTAAAGTTGTCGATTGTTTTTACTATACCAGTGTAAAACTGTATTTATATCCATCGTTAGACAATATATCATGAATCACCATAAGACAATTTATTAAATATAAATAATTAATTTGTATTTAATTACTATTTATTCATATCAGCTTTTGGTTCTTAAAATTTATGCTCTTATGTGTAAATACATAATTAAAAATTTACCTTCAATCCTACATACGACGTATAATTAGAAATTTTCTTACATCTTTGCGTTGTTTTGTATTTATCTTTCTTGAAAATTATGTTAAAATTTAGTAAATTTCAATTTAAATCATATTCTTTTTTTGAAATGAGTTATTTCTATTTGTTGTCAATTTAATGCATTTTACATAATGTTTATGTACTTTGTTGGATGTTTCGTTCAATTCTTTGTCTCTTTCTTTGTAAATTAAAGTGATTAGTATCGTACAATAAACTATATATAGACTATAAATAAATTAAATCGTATCATCAATAAACAATCCAAATAAATATGTTACTTCATTGTATGTTTACACAGGGGAGGGCCCACAATAATGTTTGGCCCAACCCTTTTGTTTATTGTGTTGATATGTTGATGTAAAAAATTGATGAATATTTATAATATATGACATACATTCTATATTTAACGTATTAAACTAATTGAATATAATTATATTCTTTACTAGTGCTTTGATATTTTGTGTTGTTTTTTTTCCAATGAATATAGTCAATAATCATAAAAATGAGTATTATTTTGAAAACGTTGGCTTAATCTTTTCTGAAACTTCAAAGCACGACTATGCTCAGAATGAATGTATTTCATGCATTTTCCTATTTTAGTTATTTCTACTAAATCTATACATGTAAAACGACAAATTTAATGTGGGGTTATAATCTACAGTTTGTTCTGCAAATTAGTTACATGCTGTGGTTGTATGAACTCGTCTGAAGGTGCAAGGTTCAAGATCTTTAATAACTTTTAAAATTTCTCAATACTGTACTGAGTGTTGACTGACATTAATTATGCATAAACATTATATTAAATTTTCCGATGGCTATGTCCTTCTTTAATATAATCTGATCATGTCTTAATTATAGTCTGGTTAAAACTTAAAGGAGCACACCTCCAGATTCATGCTAATTTTCATGAAAATTTATAAATGTATTTCACAGTATAATATTGTAAAGTTACCATAAGAATGCAATTTACACGTTATCAATGGCACGTTCAACCTATGTTAATTACTATAAAGAGGTCAAAGTATGCAAAAAGCCCTAATTGCGTTAGTAACGCAGTAGAAATTTAGTTATAAATACTGAAAAATTCGGTCATTAATCGCACATGACATGTAATTTTTTACTAGAGTTTTGAATCTTTATACCTTTCCTAAAATCTTTTATCGAAATATGTTTGCTCATCTGGAGGCGTGCAGCTTTAAAGGAATTGTCTCTAGTATCGTATGCTAAAGCATTTTGAAGATCATACGGATGTGATGCTTCTAAAGCTTTGTGTATATCTAGTTTTACAAGTACAAATGTTGCTGCAATGCAGCAATTGAGAAGCTCCGCGCAAAAAATGTGTGCTAATTACAGATACCTTACCAAATTCCTACGCATATTAAGATTAAGTACTATTGTAGATTTTTTCCGAATGTTTTGTAAACCATTTTTTGCATAATTATACCGTGAGTTAGCCAATAGCGGATCATAGCCAATAACGGATCAGTCAGTAATTTAACGAAATATTCTTCTAGCATGTGCATTAGGATGTTAGCTACTTGAAAGCGGAAAATAAATGTAAACATCCGTGTAATTCATATCAGATTCACTCAGATGCTTAACCAAGCGTTTCCGTTTCTCGTGAAATTTAGCGCCATTGACAACGCATATTTGACATTGTTGCCTTATTTATCATAAAAACTGTAAAGATATTGGATCAAAGCTGGTAGATATTTGATGCCCAATATGTTAACTACCTGCAACACCAACCGTTTAAAAATACTTCAGGAATTATTTTGCTAGCGCTATTCAAATGAATTGCACCAAAAGCGGATCATGCAATTTATAGGAAGGGACCGCCTCAAAGTGTGTGTATTTATCCAACCTGTTATTGAAAATATTTTTTAATAGAAAATTTTGGTTTGTAGACCAAATAAATAAATAAATAGATTATATAAAGTTTAAATGATTTATGTTAATATTACAACTGAATTACGCAGTTCATGCCAAAAAAAGTATTTTATGCAGTAAAACACAGTGAAATACTATTCAAGGCTACATGTACGTAGGTATCCAGTTTTTTTCCAGACTATATATAACATCATAAATCATTGTTATTAAATAAATCAGATACAAAGAACATGTTTTATTCATATTCTTCAGCTATTTATATGACATATATATTGAGACTTGTCCTCACCTCACCTCACCTCACCCATTAAGGTTACAGTTACTTTAATCAAGTTTTACATAGAAGGTGTTTTCATGAGCTGCTTTGTCCCCTGTAATCCTGACAAAAATGAAAATGCATTTAATGTCAGCCATTTATCTTGTGGTTGTTGCCTACACAAATCATTGAGAGCAGTTATCTAGTTCACCATTATTACAATCATAACAATACTTGTTAACCACAATCATTCAAGTTGCCTCTTGAATTCTTTAGTTAGTAGTACCCTTTACACTCTGATATTCAGGGGTGACATATATTTGTGCAATATTTTCTTTGTTCAGGACGAATTTGACAGAAAATTCGTGTTTTGAGACAATCCCCCATTCGTATGTCACGTGATCCGCTAATGGCTGATTTGACCCGTTATTGGCATGTTTACTAGATGTTTGAAAAAGGTAAATGCACAATGATGCATTCAAAATAAAGATTCAAAAGAAGTATACAGTAAAAGAGGAATAAAAATACTTCAAATCTACATACATTTATTTAAGAATTTAAAAATCATTCGTTCATGATCACTAAAAGTTTCACATGTGATCCGTTATTGGCCAACTCACTGTACTTATCTTATGCACTGTCCATAATTAAAAAGAGGGGAAAAATATTTAATATAAAAAATGCTTTCACTAATGCCTACCTGGTAAGGAAAGTAATTCCATTGAATACAAACAAGACTTACAAGACTTGTAAATGTTATGTGACATGAATGTACTGTGTTCTGTTTGTGTCACTACTGTAGTCAGTAGCAGAAGATAGATGATAGAAATATCAAAGTCTGTTATAATTGTAACAAATATACAAATAGTAACAAAAGGGACTAATATTATAATATAGTAATATTACATGCATATTTTTCATGTCAAATTAAAAGTAATGGTTTATTTCAATACTGAAAGTAGAACACACTCTGGAATGAAAAAATGGGATGAATTTCAAAAAGACCAAATTCAGGATTTTTTTGTTTATTATACACGCGTTACATGGTGATACAGTATTTATCAATATAATAGAAGACTGTTACCTGAATTTTAGGTAGGTATGAGGAAATTCATTAATATCATATTCGTGCAAGACAAATATATGAAAGTTATTTGACATTGGTAATATATAAAAAAAACTATTATTAATTAATTTATTGGGAGATCAATATATATTTTTTGTTGAATTGCTTTAAAACCATTCATAAAAAACATTACACTTATGTTCAAACTGCAGATCAAAGTTTCTGTTGTTGTCATGATATCTATCTATAGCCTATGCTTAAGGTGATTCCGCTTTGTCAGCCATGTTTGTTTTCACTAAAGTCTGTCCAAAGTGAAAGTAGGCCAAAATTCATATAACAACAAAGCTCTTATTGTAAAATGATGAACCATTTGAAAGTACACTTCCAGGTTTATATTTTAAGGACAATTATAAACAAAAATAAAAATGATAACAATAAAAATATTTACCTTGGATGTGCTACATTTCTGAAGACCAAAAACATTTTGTTGCAAAGTTTTATGCACATTTCATAAATGGCAAAATCCTTTTTAAAGTCTGTTTTAGTGCCAACAAAAGCTATTTTTTTTGCAGCAAATACAAAAATCTTTCAAAACTTAACTCCAACTAAATCAGTATCTCATGTCCTTCTAAGCACATGGCTTCCATTATTTTTTGTAAAAAAGAAGTGCAAGAAAACAATCATCATTTATAGCCTTATGAACTACAAAATGAAAACACCATCTAACTTTAAAATCTAACCTTTTCATGTGTAACAGTGAAGTGTGTCTGTTTGTCATGTACACAATAAATAGGTAAATGATGTTTATTTTCATGGTACTACTTTTTTACACATGTCATGGAGGCCATGTTTTTTCAAGGTCAGATAAACTACTTTCCTAAGATTTATGTTTTTTCAAGTTTTTTGTATTTTCTGTAAACAATAGCATTTGTTGGCACTAAAATAGACTTTAAACTGGATTTAGCCATTCATGAAATATGCATAAAACTTTGCAACAGAATGTTTTTGGTCTTCAGAAATGTAGCCCATTCAAGGTAAATTTCTTATTGTTATCATTTTTATTTTTGTTTAAAATAGTCTTTGAAACATAGAACTGGAAGTGTACTTGCAAATGGCTCATCATATAACAATGTGTGCTTTGATGTTATATGAAGTTTGGCCTACTTTCACTTTGGACAGACTTTGTGAAAGCAAACATGGCTGACAAAGCGGAATCACCTTAATGAGGGTCCATCCGCTCGTAGGGCTTCAAATTGCAGCTTCCGCTGTCGAGTACGGACCCCCACCCTCCTGACATACTACAAGACATACCAATAACTTTTTTTTCTTTTTCACAATGTGGTATGCTGTACCAATGACGCTTATGAAATGTAACATTATATACTTAAGTTTAATTATTTCAAAACAACCAATATATCAACATGTTATTATTAAACATTTAATTTCATAAATATAAATTAAAAATAATTATCAAAAGCAAAATTGTTAAAATCTTATGCCTGAAATCTTCTTTATATTGACAAATTCAATCACAAATAGTGTACTTGATATGCTGTGTGTAAATGTATTTCAAAATGTAACAAATTATGATTTCATGTACTACTAAAAAGGGAAATAACAAATCAGAACATTTATAGCTATTTTTAGCTTTCGAATTTATGTAACAGCAGAACTGCTTTCCGGTTCTCATTCATTAATATGACATGCTGCGAATCACCGACGGGGAAACCAATATAGAAATCGAAAGGAG